AGAGCAAACCTACGAAAGTTTAAATTAATTATTGGCTGTTATTGGTGAAAAATGGCGAGCTGATTATAGAACTTGTTAAAAAAATAGATAGAGCTTAGAAAATGACTTATTTATTCCGAAAAATTAAATTGTAACTTTTGTTTTTGCTGCAAATGTTTCGCATCTAATGAACTTTTGATTTTTTTATTTTAATGGTTAAGTTGGATCAAATATGAAAAATGGAAGCAAAATTTACTTTGAAACAAAAATCGTTTATCTTTTTTTAGACCTAGTAGTTCCCATACACTAAATTTGTCATTTGATATTAACTATGCAGAAATAATACAGATTTAGATAATAGTTTTTTTTCATTTAGTTAAAAAAATATGTAATTTCTTTGCATGTTTCATTAATCTTTGGAAAATACTTTCAAAATACGTTGAAAATGTAACTCTAAAACAACAATCTAAAAATGGGAAAGTTGAGATGAATACAATTTGGCCCTTACGATATCAATAAGGAGCAGTTTGTGCTGCAATTTTGGATAATAAAAAAATAAATTAAATTTAAATTTAAAAAATCCAACAGGAAATACTAGTGTTATGTTTAAAAATGAAAGGCTAGTTTTTTTTTGCTCTCTTGGCATAAATTTCTCAATAGAATAGATCGCATAGTATATAAGTAAAATGTTTCAAAACCCAAATACTAATATTAGACATACGTTAGAAATATTTGAAAATTTAAACATATTTTAATTATGATCAACCCGCGAACTGCCTCGATTTTCTATATAAATTTAAAATCAATATATTTCATACGCTTTTACATAATATATCAAATTTTTTATGTACTAAATCTGAAATGATTAACAATAATTAAAAAATTTACGTTTTACTGTTTTAACAGTTAAAATTATTGCGGGGGGCGCTAGAAAAAAAATTGCATGCGGGCGGGCGCTGAGGACCCCAGGACCGGCCCTGTATATATATATATATATATATATATATATATATATATATATTTAGATGTAAAATAATTGTTTTAAAATCGGTTGACAGGAAATGTTCGTTTAATGTCGTTTAGTCAGACACAATACACCTATTATAATAAATTGCTCACAGAGTTAAACCGTCCATACATTCATTATATATAAATATATATATATATATATATATATATATATATATATTTATATATATATTTTCTTGTGTGCGGGTGTATGATTTGATACTACTTCTAAACGGTTGTTCGGTTTTTGATAATTCTTTCTGAAGTTTGTTATGGAAATTTTTAAGATTTAATGAACAATAAAACTATAATAATAATGTAACACTTATCATTGTTCGACATTGAAAACATTTGTAGAAATGTCAATTCACTTGAAATTTGAATTTAGCTGCAATTATGAGCCTAGATAATATTAGAATGTAATATACAAGAAAAATGTAATGTCTACTTTATTATTGCCGAAAAGCAACCGAGATGTGCCAGAAATTAAAATAAAAACCAATGACTAATATATAATAGTTAATGTTGCAGTCAAACATTTATCTTGCATCCTAATCAAATAATGATGGAAATTTATTATTTCAGATAAACCCCATCTTATCAGTTTAAGATCGTTCTAAATTGTATATTTATATGGTATTATATTGTGTTTAATGTGCACACGGTACTACTGTTGGTACAGCCATCACAAATCTCAAAAGTTACAACAAATAATTTAATGGTCGTTATCAAATCAAATATTGTAAATATAAATGTGTACATTTTCTCGTTCTTATCGCGATAACAATATTATTCCTTGGAAATGGACTTATTCGGATTTTTATCAAGAACTATAAAAGTAGATCGAATTTGAGATATCGAGATAGTCATATGTTGTAATAGACACACTGTTAATTTCAGCTAAATTCAAATTTCGAGTGAATTGACAATTCAAGTCAAATGTTTTCAATGTCAAACAATGATAAGTGGTTTTTTGTCATTTTTGCCATTTATTTCTACAATATTACTATAGTTTTATCCTTAATTGAATCTTAAAAATTTCCTTTGACAAACTCTAAAAAGATTTATCAAAATCCGAATAACCGTTTAGGAGAAGTATCAAATCATACAGCCGTACAGAAGAATTTTATACAAACATTTTAAAAAACTTTCCATCAGAATTCTTATCAATGTTTTGGCGAATTTTAAAGAATTTATAAATATGCAAATTAAGTATTATTATGTGCATTTATAAATATTTATTCTACGACAAACAAAAATGCACATTTGAATTTTTCAATATTACAATAAGAACAAATCAAACAGGGTCAAATTGTATTTACCAAAAATTAAAAAATTGTATATGACTTTATATAATATAATAAGAATAAGAATTTAAATAAAAGTGTTCTCAAATAATATTAAGCCCAACTATATTTCTTTTTCTCGAAACTAGAAAATTTCTGATTTCAAATTTTGCCGCCGAAAATCTCGCAGATGAAATGTTTTTTATGTTGTCCATCTTGATCTGTTGTTCTTAAAAGAAAAATGGAGGAGAAACGTCAAATAGTTTATGGAATTATTCGTCAAATTCGAGGATGAATTCATAGTATAAAAGTCAGTTTTAGTATTATATAATATTTAAGGAAAAACGAATTAGTGAATATCTAAACATATACGTATATTATTATACACATACATTAAAAGTCTTCTCAACTTTTAAGAACGCATCGGCAGTTAGTTTATTATAACCTACAAACGTCAAACATGTCTGACGAAACAAATTCGCACAAAACAATTAAAATCGAACCGATCGATGATTATCCTCAAGTTAAACAGGAATTTGATGATTATGAAAATACGTCAGATTTGTGTACGGATAATGATGATATATGTCTGCAGCAATTTCTAAAATCTGAGGTTACAATTGATGAGGAATTAAAACAAGAAACTATTGGTGACCAAGATGCTGCAAAAAATACAAACCAAATATTTTTACTTTGCATATATAACAAAGACATCACTAAATCAAGTAATTTAGTAGATGATACAGACGAACCATCTGAAAGAGTTTCAGAAAAATTTAGAAGTACTAATGACTTGAAACTCTACAAATGTAAAATATGCTTTAAAGCATTCAGAGTAAAGCATTATTTAAACCAACATGAAAAGGTTCACACAGGACAAGGTCCTTATGAGTGCACGATATGCAATAAAAGATTTTTACAGTTATGTCATTTAAGAAGGCATTTATTAATTCATACTAAAAATTATAAATGTAATACATGCAATAAAACATTCGCATTGAAACATTCATTAAACCGGCATGAAGTGATTCACACCGGAGAACGCCCTCATGAATGCCCAACATGTAAAAAAAGATTTTCAGTGTTAGGTAGTTTAAGAAAGCATTTATCAACACATTTATCAACGCATTTATCAAAGAAATCTAAAGAACGATCTTATAAATGTGAAATATGCAATAAAGCATTCAAAACAAAGCAAATATTAAAACTACATGTAACGGTTCACACCGAAGAACGACCTTATGAATGTGAAATCTGTAATAAAACGTTCAAAACAAAAAATGTATTAGACAATCACAAAATAGTTCACTCAGAAGGAGTAAATTATAAATGTGAAATATGTAATAAAGCATTCAAAGCAATGAAATATTTAAACAGACACAAAGCCCTTCACTCCGAAGAACGACATTATAAATGTGATAAATGCAATAAAGCATTCAAAACAAAGAAATGTTTAAACCAACATGAAGTGGTTCACACGGAAGAACGACCTTATAATTGTGAAATATGCTCTAAAACATTCAAGACAAAGCGACATTTAATCGATCATAAAGGAATCCATGCTGGAGAACCCCATACAAGAAACAATGAATAAAACTTTTGAATGAATCGTGAATCTCTCCCATCTTATAATCCTTTCCATTTACTCAATTTGCATTGATACAGGATAGCAATCGCAATTTATTTATTATATAATTCAGTTACAACTCTAGTTTATTACTCATATACAATGTATTGTATGTAATTGTATTAAAATAAATGTTTAAATAGAAAATTGTAATTGTTTTGTAATTACAACAATTGAAACTACTAGAGATTTTAAAATATTTTCATTAGTGCATTTTATTTTCCATAAAATACTTTTGTAATACTGGATTAAAAATTCAAAAAATTACCCAGGCTAAGCACAGTCTAAGCGCCACTCTGGTGCAAATGTTTACCCAAGTGTGTTTAGACTGTTTATAGTACTGGAGCACTTTCTCAATTTTGTGAAAACTATTGAAAAATGTGAAAATGCCGCCATGCTGTGCACAGTATAAGTGAAAATGTCGCACAGAATTATTTGTAAATATGTTTAGACTGTGACTATACGGGAGCACTTTTTCAATTTTGTGTAAATTAGCCAACTATTTTTTTTTCGAAATGAAATGACGATTGTTAATGTTCTGGAGATAAATTGATTTATGATTTACATTTGATTTGCTCAGATATAACAAGATAGCAAAAATAATGAAAGTTACAGTATTTGTAATAATATATATTTGAAAACGTTTGAAAATTTCTCGAATATTTCATTAAGGTACGGGAAGTTCCAGCAATTTGCCTTAAGGCACGGTGCCATACACCACTAGTTTTGTTTTATTTAAAGCTCTTCTATTTTTGTAAAAATATACAACATTTATCATTAACCACAAAAATTAGATATTTTATAATATTTAAACTATTAGCAGAATAATTGAGTAAACTTGTTAATTTTGTACAAAACCAAATGAACTGCAATAGAAAAACAGATCATTATAATTCTAGTTCTTGGTTAAAAAATATATTATATTCTAATGACCAAGTTTTCACATTTACAGATATTGGAATACACTTCATTTTAAAACACATTTTTTTCCATCTAATTACGGCCCTGTACTATTCCAATTACACAAAATCAATAACAATTAAAAAACTTACGTAAATCCATTATGTAATTTCAAATCGCGCGCGCATTATCGTCGCGCGTGAAGTCAGTCGATTTACATGTTGGCATAAGTGCTGCCACACTTTTTATTGACATATCGTCTGTTGTCAAAGGGAAAAATGGTCTTGTCAAAAAATATGAAAAAAATAACAAACAATTGATTAATTTTAATGTTTAATTGGTTTTTTAATTACTTAAATCATTGCCGCAAGTAATGGAATATTGTGATGTGTTCAAATGCGTGGTGGAAGTTTGATAAATAACCTTATGTGTGTGGTAAGTATTCCTAGTGTAAAAACTTGTAATCAAAATATTTATGTTTAATTTTTGTTGATTCAACCCTCTAATACGTATTTATAAACTTTTTAATAAAATCTTTTATTTTTCAATATCCATAAACATAAAATGTGATAGTATATGTATATAATACTTAATGTTGATATCTACACTGATAACAATTTTTTTTTGCAAATTTTTTGATCTTCAAAAGCGCAAATATATAAATAATATTAATAACTATTTATCATGTATACAAGCTGTCTAGATTATATTGATAAGGATTTTTATGAAGATGCTTTTGAAAATAGCAGGAATGTAAACATGAAGTACAAAGAACACTATTTGATTGTCGGGGCTTTTAGTAATCTTCGTATTCTTGTATAATCAATAGACTCGTGGGAAGTAGTTTATTTATAAAAAAGCCGTGCAAGTGAGAAATTTATATATAGTAAAGTCTTGTTGAGTGTAAAATGGTAAGAAAACTCTTGTATTGCCGTTTCAATTGATTTAGTTTTTCAAGTAAAGACAAATAAATTTGGTGAAGTAAATGCTTCGCAAATTGTATACATTAATAAAAGCTAGAAAACATTCACTAAAATCTGGTAAAAGCACTTACATAATGAAATTTTGAATTAAACTTGTCAGAACATTTTTCTGGTAATATATTTAGCAATATATGAATTTTGGATATTTTTTTACATTTTTTTTTTTTGAGTACCATGTAAATTTTGATTCAACATTTTTATTTTATATATATATATCAATAGAAACTAGATAAAATTTACCAAAATTTAGTAAAAACTGTTATTTACACTTGCATATTGAAATTCTAAATAATTCATAGTTGAAATGCAGACTCTAGTATTTTAATAATTAGCAATATATGGATTTTTTATGGAACATTTTTTTACTATTCTCCAAGTAAATTTTAATTTTTATATTGGGCACTATAATTTGTTTTTATTAGTAAAAACTGGATAAAATTTACTAGTATATAATCATGACTAAAGGTCAAATTTTGATTCATATACACACTTATTTAAATTTTAATACAAACAAATTAAAATTCAATTTCAATTTTAAACTTTGCTTTCGGAAAGTTATTAATCTAGACTATTTCTATCAGATTCAAGATGATTCGTGTTTGGAGATTTACTTTATATGGATTTTACTTAATATAAATTTGAATAGAATCTTTTATTCCAGAAACTCAATTTAAATATTGGTATTAAATCTCAGGAATTTATCTAATCACGAATTTTAAGTTTATACATGATATTTGTATTAGAGGGTTGTAAATATTAGTTCTTTACAATTTAAGTAATCTTAATAAAGCAGACTTGCAGTAATCCAGTAATCAATTTTAAATTATATTTCATTTTACTTGTTATAGAAATATAGTTAAAACTAGTGATGTGCCAACTCGAATCAAGTGATTAAAAATATTCGAATCAAACCCTTATTCTTATTCGAATCATATTTTACTTGGTTTGTAAAGCTGAGAAATATGTACAGTAAAACAATATATATGAACATAATATATAAACACAAGATAAATTTTAATAAATATAAAAAAAATCATTATAATAAATTTGAATTCAATAGAATCAATCGAGTTCAATCAACTTTTGAACAGATATAACAGCGTTATTGTATGATGATTTATCTTATTTTTGTCATATTTATTATTATGGATTTTAAATGTAACCAAAATAAATGGTAGTACCAATTTTTTAATATAAAATTGTCTTTGAAACATTTATTAAACACCAGAAGAGCAGTAAATTATACAAAATTTTAGATTATTCAAGTAATGGCAAATAAATTCACATTATATTTAGCTGTTCGTTTAAATGAGATCCTTTGCTGATTAAAAAATAAAACTAGTGGTGTATGGCATCGTGCCTTAAGGCAAATTGCTGGAACTTCACGTACCGTAATAAAATATTCGAGAATTTTTTTTAAACGTTTTCAAATATATTATTACAAATACTGTAACTTTCATTATTTTTGCTATCTTGTTTGTTATATCTGAGCAAATCAAATGTAAATCATAAATCAATCAATTTATCTCCAGAACATTAACAATCGTCATTTCATTTCGAATTCAATTTCAAAAAAATAGTTTAGTTGCCTAATTTACACGTGAAAAGTGCTCTCGTATAGTCACAGTCTAAACGCAAATAATTCTGTGCGACATTTTCACTTATACTGTGCTTAGCTCGGCGGCATTTTCACATTTTTCAATAGTTTTCACAAAATTGTGAAAGCGCTCCAATACATAAACAGTCTAAACGCACTTGGCTAAACATTTGTACCAGAGCGGCGCTTAGACTGTGCTTAGTCTGGGCAATTTTTTGATTTTTTAATCCAAAATTACAAAAATATTTTATGAAAAATAAAAAAAGATGTAATAATTTTTTATCCTCAAAAGCAATTGTTTTGTCAATACAAGCAAAAAGTTTTTTAGATCATTCAAATCGGACGCTTAGTTCATTCAAAAAGTGCCATTTTTTGCACATTTAGCTCTGTATTTTCGAAATGGCGGGATCTGTCTTTGCCAAAAACTAATCAGCACATCCCCTTATCCATGCGAATCCAATGTTTTTTGAGTTATTCAAATCGGTTGACTCGTGTTCCCGAAATCGTCGACGAAAATTTGTATCCACACACACGCACACACACACACACACACATACATCAATTTTTTCTAAGGTATGCCAAAATGTTCAGAAACATTGGAAACGTGAAGAAAAGTAAAAAAGGGAAGGGAAAGCAAAAAGGTCACAATTTTCAGAAAAACTTAAAGTATAAAAAATCAGAATATAAAAAAAATTCAAATTTTTCAAAAAAGTCAAGTTTTTTCAAAAATTTCATATCTTTCAAAGTTCTCAAAAAATTCTAAAGGTGTTTAAAAATTTCAATTTTCGGTACGGGAAGTTCCAGCAATTTGCCCTAAGCCACGATGCCATGCACCACTAGTTATCATAATTTTTGATCACATGGATCATTTTTGTCTTAGCTTATGCTTGTCCATATATAGGCTTGATTCGAATCACTAGTGAAAATATATACTTGTCTAATTACTAAGTACTCGGATTACACAGCAAGTCTGCTACAATTCACCCTTTCATGTTTTAACAAATTACTTTCCGTCCTTTCCAGCATAGATCCAACTCAAACCGACAAGCAACCATCACAATTCCCTGTTAATAATAATGAAAGCCGTCACAAACACCATAAGCTCCTCCTGATAATGCTCCAAAAATCCACAATCTCAAACAAATTATTACAAATGTACAGAAATTTCCGTCTCTGATGCACCATACTGTCGACAAATTACTTTACATCACCCGAAGCTGCTGGTGTCACCGTGATGAATTCTTGTAAAAATTTTACAAAAAATGGAAGACGCAAAGTCTGACTGTTTTGAAATCTGGAGGCACAGCAAATGGAGGGACAGCGGGCCATAATAATAAAATTTCTAGGGGAAAGCAGAAACAATAATATTGTATACATTATTAATTAAGTAGGGTTTATGTGTAGTCAATTCTTGTTCAAGCCATATATAGTTACTTATACATCGTGCCATATCTGTATAGTTGTATGTATATATTGTATAATTAGTAAGTCGCATAAGTCATTTACCATGGCTTCGGACAGCTCAAAATTTGCAGGATACGCACAATGGCGTTCTGAGGAAAGTAGGGTTTTATTGAATGGTGTTACCAATGCAGGCGGGCACAGGAATTCATCCCTGTGCAGACAAGTCAATGCAAAGAAAGCTTTGGTTTTATTAGTACTTATGTCGGCTATCACTATTTTGTGCTACGCACATTACGTAATGAATTCACCATTCACCAGCCTGATACATAGAGACACTGTACCCACACCTTTGGTGCAATGCAGATTAGGACTCGCCAAAAATGATTATCAACAAAGCGATCATAGAAGTGAAGCCAGATTAAGAATAGACCCTAAAGTCCTAGTTTTTGTTGAAACCACCTACACGCAACTTGGCAGAGACATCGCGGAACTTCTAGTCCACACCAGAATCAAATACAAATTAGAAGTCGCCGGGAAAAGTTTACCTGTACTAACAAATTTAGACAAGGGACGTTACGGTGTCATTGTTTTTGAAAACATCGAAAAGTACTTCATGATGGACAAGTGGAACCGCGAGCTCTTAGACAAATATTGCAGAGAATACTCTGTAGGCATCATCGGTTTCATGAAACCCAGTGAAGAAACTTTAGTCGGGGCACAATTGCAAGGATTTCCTTTATTCATACACACAAATTTACGTTTACAAGATGCGTCATTAAATCCTAAGTCACCTATTTTACGTATGGTTCGTTCTGGTGAAACGGCTTGGGGTGTACTTCCTGGTGAAGACTGGACGATTTTCAAACCTAATCATTCCACGTACGAGCCTTTAGAATGGGCAGCTAGGAACCCTAAAGAAGGTTCCACCGAACAGTTGACCACGATAGTACAAGACCATGGACAACTCGATGGTATCCAACGTGTTTTGTTTGGTTCAGGTTTTAAATTCTGGTTGCACAAATTATTATTTTTAGACTCGTTGAGTTATCTAAGCCACGGGCAGTTGAGTTTAAGTTTGAACAGAGCGCTTTTAGTCGACGTTGATGATATTTTTGTAGGCGAAAAAGGCACGAGATTGAAGACTAATGATGTCCAGGCTTTACTGGACACTCAGGAACGCATAGCAAAAATGATACCCAACTTTAGGTTTAATTTAGGTTTTTCTGGGAAATATTTCCATCACGGTACTTATGAAGAAAACTTAGGCGACGACATGATTTTAAAAAATGCTAAAAAGTTTATATGGTTCTCCCATATGTGGAACCACCAACAACCACACTTGTACGATAATTTAACAACTTTAATGCAAGATATGATACTTAACAAAGAGTTTGCTGTAGAAAAAGGGATTCCGACTGACTCCAGATATTCTGTATCCCCACATCATTCAGGGGTTTATCCGGTGCATGAGTTGTTATACGTAGCTTGGAAAAAAGTTTGGAACATCAAAGTTACATCAACTGAGGAGTATCCTCATTTGCGACCAGCTAGGTTACGTAGAGGTTTTCAACACCGAGACATCATGGTTTTACCAAGACAAACTTGTGGACTTTTCACACACACAATGTTTATCCAAAGGTATCCAGGAGGCAGGAAAAAACTCGATGAGGCTATACAAGGTGGTGAGTTATTCCAAACAATTGTGTACAACCCGATAAATATATTCATGACACATATGTCTAACTATGGTAGCGATCGCTTGGCTTTGTACACTTTCGAGTCAGTTATAAAGTTTTTGAGGTGCTGGACAAATTTAAAATTAAGTTCAGCTCCTCCTACACAATTAGGGGAAGCTTACTTCCGTCAACACCCTGATGAAATCGATCCAGTGTGGGGTAATCCTTGCGAGGACCTTAGACACATTAAAATCTGGTCCAGGAGTAAAAGTTGTGACTCGTTACCTAGATTTTTAGTTATCGGACCACAAAAAACAGGCACAACAGCACTATATACTTTTTTGTTGATGCATCCGAGTATCGCAAGCAATCTACCAAGTTCCGATACATTCGAGGAGATACAGTTTTTCAATGCTAATAACTACTACAATGGTTTGGATTGGTACATGAACTTTTTCCCAGTGAATTCATCATCGAAATACATGTTTGAAAAGTCTGCTACGTATTTTGATGGTGATCAAGTGCCCAGACGTGCACATGCTTTGTTGCCGAAGGCAAAATTGATCACAATTTTGATATCACCAGCAAAACGTGCTTACTCCTGGTACCAACATATGAAGTCACATAACGACCCCATAGCTAATAATTATAGTTTCTACCAAGTTATTACAGCAAGCGATGCTGCTCCTAAAAGTCTCAGAGACTTGAGAAATCGGTGTTTGAATCCTGGTAAATACAGTCAACATTTGGAACGATGGCTAGCATACTACGATGCTCAGCATTTACACATCATCGATGGAGAGTTATTACGTTCCAATCCTATAGAAGTAATGCACGATTTGCAGCGATTTTTAAAAATCACACCCATGTACGATTATTCAGCTCATCTAAAATACGACAACAAAAAAGGATTCTTCTGTCCCCTTACCCAAGGGAATCACACCAAATGTTTAGGTCGATCTAAAGGCAGGCAATATCCACCAATGGACGATAAGACTATGAGGCTACTCCAGAGATATTATCAAACACATAATACAGCTTTAGTGAAATTACTTAAAAAATTAGGATCGCGACCGATTCCACAATGGTTGAAAAATGATTTATCGATAACTACTTAATGAGTGTCTGTTGTTACAAATTGTTGACGAAATGAATTTAAGAATTATCTCGATGTATGTTGAATTTTATTGTAAATGTCAAAGCAGTTGTTATTGGACGTAAACGTTGTTCGATAGATCTCTTTTAAGCATTTTTATGAATAAGGTACTAAGATCAAAAAGGCAGCATGCTTGATCAAAAATTAGCTTTATTTGAATTAACGAAGGATTGGAATAGTAATAATTGATAAAATTAGAAAATATTAAATCTATTATATTATATTATCAGTTCATCATGTTATTAAATTGTAATTGATTTGACACGATTTAATTTTTAATCGATTGATAAATGACAAACTATATAAATAAATGCAACCATGTTTTATTAATGTAATTTTTAATATGGACATGTTCGAATTTTTTTGTTCCCAAGGGCTCAAATGCTTCCAAAATAATAAACAAAATTTGTCTAAAAGTTTTAGCTCTTAATATTAACATTTAGATAGTCCGCAATTCAATTAAAAGTTTCTTATATTCACTATTACCATATAGCCTTGCGCCATCTGTGATAGCATTTGTGAAATCAAATTTGATGGCACTTAAAAATATTTATAAAACACTTAATCTCTAATTAAATCCATGTGGGCTGTTTAACAAAATATTTATTCATCATGGCATCAAAATTAATTTTACAATATTTACCTAAGAGATTAGAAAAAGCTATCAGTAATAAATTATCAGGAAAGAATTCCCTTAATGACAAGAATATTCGAGACTTTTAATTGAATTGTGGACTGCCTAAATGTTAATATGAAGAGCTAAAACTGTCAGAGAATTTTTTTTCATTAATTTGGAAGCATTTGAGCCCTTGGGAGCAAAGAAATTCGGAAAACTTCAAAATAAGAATCACCCTAAAATATATATTCATATATATATATATATATATATATATATATATATATATATATATATATATACATTTGAAGTATTTTGTAGTCCAACCGTCGAATTAAAAAAAAATTAAAATAGAAAAATTCTTTAATCTATTAAACGTTTCGACACTTATTGTGTGTCATCATTCAATAATCTAAAAAAACATTACATAATTAACAATAGTTGATATTAAATATAATAAAAGGAAAAATTATATACAAACCAAACATGGAAAAACCCAAAAAAATATAAAATCTTCATAATTAATAATTAATAAATAGAGATATTAAAGGAGCACATATTGCCCTCCTATATTGTATGTGTTTAATCACAGTGCATTATAAAAACTGATCAAGGTAACGCAGCACGTGCAGTAGAGTGAGTGGATGCTGGGTGTAAGAAACAAAAAAGGAATGAGAAACAGAGAAGGGATGTAACAAACTTTACAAAGGAATTACTTTTCATGAAATTTATTCCTCTCATCTTTTACATTGACAAGTCATTATAAATTTCATGTTAGATTACTGAATGATGACATATTAAGTTTCGAAACGTTTAATAGAATAAGGAATTTTTCTATTTTAATCTTTTTTTTAATTCGACGATTGGACTGCAAAATACTTGAAATATGTATATATACACACATATATATATATATATATATATATATATATATATATATATTTATATAAATATATATTAGGGTGGTCCTTAATATGGATATTTTTAAATTTCTTTGCTCCCGAAGACTCAAACGCTTCTAAAATAATCAAAAAAAAATCTCTGAAAGTTTCAGCTCTTAATATTAACATTTAGAAAGTCCGCAATTCAATTAAAAGTTTCTTATATTCATTATTATCATATGTCATTAAGTAAATTCTTGCGCCACCTGTGATAGCATTTGTGAACTCAAATATTCAAAACACTTAAAAATATTTAAAAATCGCTCGACCTGTTTAACAAAATATTTATTCATCAAAATGAATTCTGCAGCAAAATATTTATTTAATTGGTGATTTTTGATACTCAAATTATCAGTAATAAATTTCCATCAAAATTACAAGTCTGCTATCATAGATGGCGCAAGAATTTACTTAATAACATATGTTAATAATAAATGTATGAAACTTTTAATTGAATTGCGGACTATCTAAATGTTATTATTAAGAGCTAAAACTTTCAGAGATTTTTTTTTTATTAATTTAAAAGCATTTAAGCCCTTGGGAGCAAAGAAATTCGAAAATTTCCATATTAAGGACCACCCTATAAGTACTTAATGACGTATCCAATTTCAATCAATTAATACTATTTCAAAATCCAAATACGCAATATGTATAGATGTTTTTTAAATTCTAAAAGTTCAAAATAGTAAAGTGTTTTCTATTATAATTATGTCACAAATAAATTTTTTTATTAACTATATATATATATATACGTATACATACATATATATATATTAAAATTAAACAAAAAAAATACCAAAAGGTAGAAGTGTTCGTAGTTGTAATTATATAATATTATTATTATCGATTAGAATTATATTGTAAATAAAAATTGAATTAATAAATGACATATAGAAAGTTATGGAAGGATGGATTTAAATTTATTTATTTATTTATTTATAAATGTTAATTATTTAACAAACCAATTTAAGTAAAATTTTCACATGGGCCATAGTAACTTATTACTATTAGATAATAAAGAAAAAATGTATCAAAAAAACTTAATGTACAAAAAAAAAATGCGAAAATTTTTGAAAAAAATACTACCACACTTATATGACTGACATGCTCCTCTAATAAAACTTTTTCTCGACAAGCCAAAAAAAATTTTCAGGTCAATTTGTCAGACAAATATTCCTGACATGGTTCATGAAGAACTTCTTAGCGTCAGACACATATGACTGACATGGCGATCAACATGTTAACTAAAATTATTTCTGATAAATTACTGCTGAGTTGTAATAAATTTAATTCAAACCCACTACGTTAATTTATTTCTAATGAATTTTTAACTTCCCGTAGGGTAAGTTATTGTAATGGGCCGAAAATCGGAATTGAAAATTTTTACATTTCTCGACGTTTTGAAGGTTTCTGAACATTTTGGCATACTTCAGAAAAAATGGATGTGTGTGTGTGTGTGAGTGTGTGTTTTGTATGTCCGCATTTTTTCGTCCACGTTTTCGGGCGCACGGATCAACCGATTTGAATGGTTTAAAAAACATTCGATTCCTATTGATAAGGAGATGTGCTGATTAGTTTTTGGCAAAGGCAGGTCCAGCAGTTACGGAGATAAGGAGCAAAGAGTGCAGAAAATAGAAATCAAGTTTCTGAGAGAACGGAGCATCCGATTTGAATGATCTAAAAAACATTCAATTAGTAATGATTGGGAGAAGGGGTTATTAGTTTTTCGCAAAGGCAGGCCCAGCCATTTCGGAGATACAGCGCTAAATGTACAAAAAATGGCAGTTTTTGAGAGAACTAAGCGTCCAATTCAATTGATTCAAAGAACTTTCTGCTTGTCTTAACAAAATAATTGATTTTGGAAAAAAAAATTTGTTCCATTTTTTTTTTTTTTTTTTTTTTAATTTTTCGTATATCGAAAATAATTCAGATTTTATTTTTAATTCTGACTATAGTTTTAATATACTTTAAACAAATAATTTCAACTTTGCAATTCAGTTGATATAATTCTTATAAATATTAGACAATGTTACAATATTAATAATAATCTATTTGAAAACATTCAATATTCCTCGAACATTTCGTTACTGTATGGTAAGTTCCAGCAATTTGCCTTAAGGCACGATGCCACCCACCCCACTTGTTTTTATAATAATTTTGAAAAGTTTGCGCACAAATTTTCTTTTAATAATTGTCTAATTGCTTCTAATTTGTTGAAAAAACTGTTTTCTTGTTTGTACAGAGTATTTTGCGTCAGTGGAGTGACGTAAGTACAGTTATTGTTTTTGTTTGAAAAAAACATTTCTATTGTTCAACTAATTAGCCAATATTCCGGATTAATTATTAATTTGCATGTAAATCTATTGTTATTATTTTTAGTTATATATATATATATATATATATATATATACTAGCTGACCCGACAGAGCTTCAAATACAACAATTAAAGTTCGAACGAAATAAAAAAACGACTTTGCTTTTTTTATATCTAGCTTAATATTGTTCCTAGGACACTTTATTAAACACCGATTTATTAAGATTTTAATTGATATAATTTTGTTCATTACATGATTTTTATTAAAATGTATATTTTTGGAGATATTTGCAAAAAACGATGAAAATCGTCAAAAAGAAACGAATTTTTAGTAGCCAATAACTTGAAAAGTATTTGTTCTTTGAAAAACATTATAAAACTAGTTTCTCTTATAATTAGCTCTTCTATCGATATCCGACGTTATATTGAAAAAAAAATTACACCACTGAGAATGGGTGTCATCCACCCGAGTCTAAATTATTTTCACTTTTGAAATTGAGAGTAAAATGAACCTAATTCCAAAATTTGATACAAATTTGAGCACAGTACAAAATTGACTTGAGTAAATATTCCGTATCCAATGCCAAACAAATAAATTTTTGACACAATGAAACTTGTAAATAATTTTTTGAATAAGTATGTATTTTTTTTTGTATTGTGATTTAGTAAAGTAAGGCAAAACACGACTGCATTAGTTAAAAAATAATCTGTCGAATTGAATTATATAGGTCATCTGCCAAACCATATACTGTATCTTACATTATTTTAGTTTTTGGCACATCTCAGCAGCTTTTCGGCAATAATAATAATGTAGACATTTAATTTTTTTTATTCATAATCATGAATTTATTATATATATTCTAATATTGTCTAGGCTCATAAGTGAATTGAAATTTTTGGCAGGTAACAGTTTTCATTTGTTTTCAACGCCAAACAATGCCTCAAATATTTTCAATGTTAAACAATGACATGTCGTTCTTTGCAATTTTTTCCATTTATTTTCACAATTTAACTATATTTGTAAAAATCAAAAAATCCTAAAAAATTCCCTTAACAAACTTCAGAAAGATTTATCAAAATCCGAATAACCGTTTAGGAGAAGTATCATATCATACACCCGTACAGAAGAATTTTATATATAAAAATATATATGTGACATCCCATTAGTACTTTGTGTATATAAGATATTTATCATTATATATCATTAAAAATTTTATTACTTTTATAATTACATTGAACATTGGAATTTTGTTCAACAAAAATATTACCCACGATTCATTTTTAGACTTTCTCATTCTAAAAATATCGTGTAAATATTGGACATATCTAAAAATACGCGCTTTAATGTAATAAACAAATGCCATTTTGTATTTAAACTAATTATAAATTATAATTATGTTAATTGTTTTGAAATTTGTCACGGACTTTTAAGAAGCAAACTGGTTTCGACCGATTTGGCGAAACAATTATGGAATTTTGTCAAAAGCGCAAACAAATCACAAAAATTGTGAATAATAATTTTATAGATATACTAGATGACCCGACAGACAATACTAATATTGTCTGGGCTCATGAATAAATTGAAATTTTTGGCAGGTGACAGTTTTTATTTGTTTTCAATGCCAAGCAATGCCTCAAATATTTTCAACGTCAAACAATGACACGTCGTTTTTTGCATTTTTTTTACATTTATTTCTACAATATTACTATATTTTTATAATCACATACATCCTAATAAACTCCCTTAACAAAGTTTAGAAAGATTTATCAAAATCCGAATAATCGGTTAGGCGGAGTATAATTACATACATCATTGCAGAAGAATTTTATATATAAGATTTTGTGTTTTTTTTGGTTTTGCAATGTCTTGGCAAAAATTTGTGATGTCAATTCTTGGATAAAGTAGGAATGTTATGGTAGTACTATAGTGCGGGTCTATACCCGTATGAGTAACAATAACGCATAAATTCTAGCCTCCAAAATAATTTTATCATAAGTGCAACCTTCTGATGCCTCTATCGTAACACATATATGAAGTTAGGTTTTATGTGTGAAACTAGAATAAAATAATTGAAAAAAGTTCTATTTCACTCAAGAACTATCCTCTAATGCACCAAAAATCGAAAATGAAAATGTTTGGATTTCTCGACGTTTCGAAAGTTTCTGAACATTTTGGCATAACTCAGAAAAAATGGATGTGTGTTTGTATGAGTGTGTGTGTGTTTTGTATTGTCCGCATTCTTTCGTCCACGTTTTCGGACGCACGGATCAACCGAATTAAATGGTTTAAAATACATTCGATCTCAATTGATAGGGAGATGTGCTGATTAGTTTTTGGCAAAGGTAGGTCCAGCCGTTGCGGAGATACGAAGCAAAGAGTGCAGAAAGTAGAAATCGAGTTTTTGAGAGAACGGAGTATCGGATTTGAATGATATAAAAAACATTCAATTTGTAATGATTGGGAGAAGAGGTGATTAGTTTTTGGCAAAGACAGATCCCGCCATTTCGAAGATACAGCGCTAAATGTGCAAAAAGTGCAGTTTTTGAGTGAACTAAGCGTTCTACTTGCTTTTTAGGATAAAAAATTCAAAAAATTGCCCAGGCTAAGCACAGTCTAAGCGCCACTCCGGTACAAATGTTTACCCAAGTGCGTTTAAACTGTTTATGTACGGGGGAGCACTTTTCCAATTTCGTGAAAACTATCGAAAAATGTGAAAATGTCGCCAAGCTAAGCACAGTATAAGTAAAAATGTCGCACGGAATTGTTTGCAAATGCACTTTTTCAATTTTGTGTAAATTAGGTAACAATGTTTTTTTTTTGAAATTGAATTCGAAATGAAATGACCATTGTTAATGTTCTGGAGATAAATTGATTTATTTATGATTTACATTTGATTTGCTCAGATATAACAAGATAGCGAAAATAATGCAAGTTACAGTGTTTTTAATAATATATTTGAAAACGTTTAAAATATCTCGAATATTTCATTACGGTACGGGAAGTTGCAGCAATTTGCCTTAAGGCACGATGCCATACACCACTAGTCAATTATAAAAATCGAATTTTATAGGGCAATTCTGCCGTAAAAGAGCTCATAACACATCGTTGTCATGGCAACGCTGTTATGCTTATCTCTTGGTAGTAAAAACTGTAAAAATGTCTATTTATTTGGGGTGCTATCAGGCGTATTTTACATATAAACAAAGCAAGAAATAATTTTATGATAACTTTATCATCAAAGATTATGTTATCATAACATTCTTCTTTGCCTTGTTTATGTGTAAAATACGCCTGATCGCACTAGCAAATACATAGGCATTTTCACAGAGTTGACTACAAGAGACCAAGCATAACATAGCATAACGCTATCTTATAGTCTATGTTACGGCAGATTTAGCCCATAAATCATATTTTTAATAATTTAACTACAATTAACGTGATTATTTTCCATTCAAGAACAACCAATCAGAATATGGTGACCGATGTCGTGGTACAGGATTCGATACACCCGTCGTCCTTGCATCAAGTGGTGAAGATTTAACTTCTGCCAAAAGTAGTGACAAGAAAAACGAAGCCAATGCCTTGTCGTCGCAAAGGACAAAACATGAACGAAGGTAAAATAAACACAATTTAAAATAAAGTTTTATCCTCATATCTTCCAATTGTCTATTATCTTTTAGTTTAAAGAACACATTCGGTTGGGCTCGAGTCGACGTAATAGTTACCACAATGGTGTGCGTCTTTTTGGCGTCTTTGTGCTTTTCTTTGCTGGTAGAAGCTGTGCAGACTTTGATTCATATCGACCATCAGGTAATATAGACTTAAATGTGCCCAAATATATATATATATATATATATATATATATATATGTAGCGGGCTCGTCAACACGCATCACATGTCTACTGGACAGATAGGCCCATATAGTGACAGCACGGAGAAAACAAAAATTAATTCAAGTGTCAGATCTGACATGGCTTTTGTTTCTCCCTAGTCAAAATTTGCCAAAAATTATAAGTCTTGAATCCTTTCTTTTCAATTATAAATACAATAATACCAATAACATTTTATTAACGATCAATATGATAACACATAGTGTCGTCGTTATTAATCTTACGTAAAATAAACCAAATATAAATAATATTTCATGAAATTTATTATTGTCTATCATTTTGGTATTTAATATGGACCACACCTTCCATATATATATATATATATATATATATATATATATATTTAACTAGCTGACCCGGCAAACGTTGTTTTGCTAAGTAAGGTATATTTCTAAATAATTTCTAGAGAATCAAAAATATCAATACTTTTAGTGTATAAGGATGTGTTGTTTGAATGCTATATTCAATGAGGTATTATAAAAACAATAAACCCCATTAGTTTGTCTATATTTTGTCTGGAAGTTTTATACACTTTCTATATAAAACTTGGTATAATCCAATCCAAGTCTTTTTTAGTCTTTCGACTTATTGATTACGTTTCAAGTTTTTCAGATTCTTTTTGGATTCTGGTTTTTGTGTACAATTGTAAATAATACTACTGAGCTTATACAAAATTTTCGAACTTTCTGCCAGGAGAGATAGAAAATGAATTAAGTATTTCTTCTTTGACCTGCTTTTTGAAAAGTTTCAAGTAACATTCGATGAATTAAAGTAAATTTAATAAAAAGTATATATGTAGAGCAGGGCGAGGCACAAAGTTCCATTTTGACTTTGAGCAAATATTAATTTTATTATAAAAATCAAACCAATTATATCACAACAAATAACACATTTCAAACGAACAATTATCTGACTACGTTCAGTAAATCTCCCAGCTACTTCATCATTGTAGAAATGTGCTTTTTTGCTGGCGGAGTAACTTGGGACGGCCAGGTGGCAAACAGCTTTAATGTCTTATTTTAATTTTAAATGTATTTTACAAAAAAATTATAACATTTTTAACTAATGCTAAAAAAGTACCAACGGGAGAAAATACTTTTATTATGGATTTTCAAATATTACCGTTTATCCCCCGATAGCAAAGTCATAAGGATCAAGGTTATAGCTGGTTTTCATCTTTTTCCTTCTACTTTCAAATATTGTTGTTAAACAATGCTTAACTTTACTGTTTTTTGACACATCAGTGGTGGACTTTTTTAACCCCGGACATTCATATATTACTATCTATTCTACGATAAATTCTGGGAAATTATAACTGGGAAAATGTTATTCGACAAAATGTCCATTTGATCGATACCAAATTTAGGTTCTGAATTTAAATAACATAAAAAAAAAATAATAAAACCTAGAAAATGTTTTATAAATACCAATGAGTATATAATTATACAAATGGGATGTTTCAGAGCACCGTGTTTGAGAAAAATATGCCAAAAAGTGCAGTTTCATATTAACATTTCGAAAAAGTTGATATTTTGAGTCTCTATAAGTAACACCTGCGGCCCGTTTACTAACGTTTTTGTATATAAATAAAACTACAGACAAAACTACTCACTACAATTTAATCATAATTAAATAATATTCACGTAAAATATTCTATTAAACATAATTGAACGTTTGACATTTGACGTATTAGCCACCCTTCATTCAAATAACGCTTCTACAAAAATGTTCAAATTAAAAATGTCAAGTTTTTACGCGATTTTGATATAATATCTCACCTTTCCGACAACCTACTGATTGGCACGAATTTTTCGAGACTAAGACTGTGGCCAAATCGGTTTAGCCGTTTTCGAGTTTTACCGAATCATTTGATCGAGAGCTACATTTTTATATATAAGAATAAAAATACGAGTTTTTATTTTGGTTTTAGGATCCAATGCATCATCCTATACCAGTGCTGTGCGTAGGAGGAGCTGGACTGGTTGTAAATGGGTTGTGCTATCTGCTAATTGGAGGTAAGGGTGATGGAAATACATATATTTCCATGTCGTATATTTGCGACAGAGGACAGTAATATATTATTTGTCTTGTAGAAGTCCTTCTCATATTTATCTAACAGTAGTTAAAAATATTCTTTCATTGGATTCAATTACAGCTTGACAAGCTTCTGTTTCTTATCCATTTTATTATGTATATATATAATACTAGCAAACCCGACGAACTCCGTTTCGCCACCAGATGGTTGCGCGAGAAGGATGAAGAAATTTTTTGTTCGTTTTATATTTGAAAAGGAAAAATTTGATTTCATTACACAACAGTAATGAATTTATTTCGATTACAAAAATGAAGTATTTTTTAGTTGAACTTCTCCAAGTAAATGAAAGTGAATCCGCAAATTATCCGTTTCATTGAAGTGTTCTTTGGTAAACCACATTTTTTGTTTTTTGGTCTGACGTTAACACAAACAAAGCGGATGGTTTTCCAACTCGTGAACGGGCAACGTATAACTGCCCATGTAAAAAACAATGATTTTCTAAATAATCTATTTGAAATTTATCCCGCAAACACTAAGCGATTGGCCTTGAGACTGGTTATTGCGAACGCAAGGCGAACTGGAAATTGCAATCGTTCGAAGTCAAACGGAAGACCAGTCGGAATCATTGGTATGTCACCAAATCGCCAGCAATTTTTGATTGAATGGTGAAATTCAGTGCGTGTACATCATTATTCTTTGGGGCAAGAATTGCTCGTTGACTTTACCAAGCATAATTCTGATAATTCTCACTAATGTCATTACACGAATTTTTAATTACGGTGCGTGAAGTTCCAGCAGCTTGCATTGAGGCACGATGCCATGCACAACTAATTTTCTTAGCTATAAACCTTGCTGAGCCCGAGAACTTTTCAATGAATGCAAAATTGTCGAAATCGGTTCGTGCGTTCTGGAGTTATTTCGTCAGGAAGAAAAACCCGACATATTTTTATATATATAGAAGATAATCTATTTGAAATCATTTAAAACAGTTATTGATTATTTTTATTACTCGAATTTTTAATTACGGTGCGTAAAGTTCCACCAGCTTGCATTAAGGCACGATGCCATGCACAACTAATTTTCTTAGCTATAAACCTTGCGGAACCCGAGACCTTTCCAACGAATGCAAAATTGTCGAAATCGGTTCGTGCGTTCTGGAGTTATTTCGTCAGGAAGGAAAACCCGACTTATTTTTATATATATAGAAGATAGAAGAAGAAGATATATTTTTATATATATATATATATATATATATATATATATATATATATATATTTCTTTTCCCCAGGTTACACTTTCCACCAAGGCAGCTACCTCCAAATGACGCCAACCGGCGATGTGGTACTAGACAGAGCAATCTCCGGCGACAGACGTGGTAAAAAATCCAACGAAAAGCAAAATCAACAAAAATCTGACGAAGACGAAAACAAGGAATCGAAACGAGAAGACAACACATCCGGAAAAATCGATCGAGAAGTCGAAGCCATTGTTTCGAAAAGCGGAAAAATTAAAGACGTCTTCTTGCCCAGGAGACAAGGCGGTCGGGAAATCGCCAGAGACGTCATGAGTAAGGATAAAAAAATAGAAAAAAAAAATATGATGTAATGATGTGATGATGAAGTTTATTTGTGTTTTTGTTTAAGGTTCTGTTTTTGTCATCATTTGTTCCCTGTTTGTGTACTGGACTGACCCAGATGTTGCCAAGTATGTGGATCCGGTGATTTCTATTATTTCTTGCCTGTGTTTGCTCTGGCTGAGTTATCCTTACAGTAAGTGGATAAAAGTAGTTGGTATTGTTATTTTGACTTGAGGCAAGTTACATGAACTTCCCGAAATGTGTAAATAATCGACTTAATCAATAATAAACAAATTTATGAGTGATTATAAGTATTGCGAGTGGATTTATTACACACAATTGAAAACGAACGAACACGTTAACTCGGAGTATTTTCTAACAGCAACTTTTCAAATGTCAATAATTTTTATAACTGAACCAGTTTCCGTAGGACTTTAATGGTTTAGTATGTTCATCAAGACCAAGTACTCTATCGTTATACCAAGTAAATCGTATAATTTTAATTTTAACAAACGTCAAAAAAACTACACATTTTCTCAAATTTTGATGAATTTTTAAAATTAAACTACTTGTCATAAGGCCGTAATATTTCAGTAAGTTCTATAAGACCATGATGTCGATCGCCAAAACAAGTTCCATAAAAATCGGCTTAAATTTTTTTTTTCAACAGTTAATTACAAGAAAACGGCTCGGTACATTTTCACCTAAAACTAATCAGTATCATTCCCAACTAATATATTTCGTACAGTTTTTGATTTTTTAAAATCGGTTCGGTAGTATGAGCTTAAATGTGGGCGGAAAGTTTAACACATTTTTTCAAATTACAAAGAAACGGCTCGGCAGATCGTCTCACAAAACTGACAAACGATAGTCCTCATTGAGATACATCAAATGGCTTTTAAATTTTTGAAATCGGTTCAGGCGTTTTTGAGAAAACGTCGATCAAAGGTCTAATTTTTACAAACGCCAAAAAACGATACTAATTTTTTGCAAACTTTGACGAATTTTCAAAATTAAACGACTTGACGTAGGGCCGTAATATTTTAGTATGATCTACAAGACTATGGGGTATCTACCGTCAAAAAAATCATAAAAATCGTCGATTTTTTTTTAAAAAACTTTATTACAAGAAAACGTTCTAGGTAAAGATTGGCCAGGAATCTTTACCTAGAAGTAGCCGATTTACGGCAAAAAATCTGTTCACATACACATACTTTTAGTCCAAATGTCGGTCTCATTCGATTCAGAATGGCTTGAAACGTCGAGAAAACATAAAATTAGCGAATCGGATTTTTTATGAAAACATAAACTTCTCCTTCGGGAAGTTAATAATTCATTAACTTCCCGTAGGATAGTTATTGTAATGGGCCGAAAATCGAAAATGAAAATTTTTGCATTTCTCGACGTTTTGAAGGTTTCTGAACATTTTTAAGGCATACCTCAGAAACTAAATAGATGTGTGTGTGTGTGTGTTTTGTATGTCTGCATTTTTTCCACGTTTTTGGGCGCACTGATTAACGGATTTGAACGGTTTAATAAACATTCGATCCCTATTGATAAGGAGATGTGCTGATTAGTTTTTGGCAAAGGCATGTCCAGCCGTTACGGAGATACGAAGCAAAGAGTGCAGAAAATACATATTGAGTTTTTGAGAGAACGGAGTATCGAATTTGAATGATCTAAAAAACATTCAATTTGTAATGATTGGGAGAATAGGTGATTAGTTTTTGCCAAAGACAGATCCCGCCATTTCGAAGATACAGAGCTAAATGTGCAAAAAATGGCAGTTTTTGAGTGAACTAATCATCCGATTTGAATGATCTAAAAAACTTTCTGCTCGTATTGACAAAACAATTGCTTTTGAGGATAAAAAAATATTATATCTTTTTTTATTTTCTATCAAATATTTTTGTAATTTTGGATTAAAAATTCAAAAAATGACCCAGGCTAAGCACAGTCTAAGCGCCACTCTGGTGCAAATGTTTACCCAAGTGCATTTAGACTGTTTATGTACTGAGCACTTTTCCAATTTTGTGAAAACTATTGAAAAATGTGAAAATGCCGCCAAGCTAAGCACAATGTAAGCGAAAATGTCGCACAGAATTATTTGCAAATGCGTTTAGACTGTGACTATACGGGAGGAGATTTTTCAATTTTGTGCAAATTAGGCAACTATTTTTTTTTTTTTTGAAATTGAATTCGAAATGAAATGACGATTGTTAATGTAATAATTGATTTATGATTTACATTTGATTAGCTCACTCAGATACAACAAGATAGCAAAAGTAATGAAAGTTACAGTATTCATAATAATCTATTTATTATTCCTCGAATATTTCATTACGGTACGGGAAGTTCCAGCAATTTGCCTTAAGGCACGATGCCATACACCACTAGTTATAAATTATATTGTATTAAATGAATATTTTTATTTCCAGTGAAGGAATCGAGTCTAATTCTGCTCCAGACAATACCAGCGAGTATAGACATTGACACGTTGAAGGCGAATCTTTTAGAAGCCTTTCCTGATATTGTCAACGTGCACGAATTGCACATTTGGCAGCTGACAGCCAACAAAATAGTTTCCACGGCCCATATCGTCTTCCAAAATCCGGAGGTAAATAAGTAAATGATTTAGTAGATTTTTAGGTAAATGTTAGTAAATGATTTAGTAGATTCTGTAGGGTAAGTTATAGTAATCGCAAAAAAAAGAAAATGAAAATTTTTATATATCTTTACGTTTCAGAGGTTTCTGAACATTTTGGCATACCTTAGAAAAAATGGATGTATGTGTGTGTGTGTGTGTGTGTGTGTGTGTGTGTGTGTGTGCGTGTGTGTATGTGTGTGTGTGTGCGTGTGTGTATGTATGTGCGGATACAAATTTATGATTTAAATGATTCATTTATCATTCGATTCCTATTGATAAGGAGACGCACTGATTAGTTTTTGACAAAGGCAGGTCTAGCCGTTTCAGAGATACGGAGCAAAACGTGCCAAAAACGGTAATTCAATTTTTGGGAGAACCGAGCGTCCTATTCGAATGAGTCAAAAAACGTTTTATATGTATTAACGAAATGAAGAACTGAGGAAATTTAAAGGGTTTCGTTCTTGATTTTATAGTTCTCTACATTTGCTCTTCAATATTTGTAATAAATACTCTTTTATAGTAAGAACCGAACTGAAATTTCAATATCTCTACAATGAAACACGTTTGGAATTTTTTTCGCATAGTTACATAATTCTCTTCTATACAGTAGTAGAAATTTTTTCGCGTTAAGTACATATTTACTTGATATAATATTACATACATTACTTTGTCGGAAATCCGATACAAAATTATCGATACCGAATAAACAAAGTTGTTCAATCAAATTAACAAAATCAACGGAAAAATAATACTTGCAATATGTATATATATATATATATATATATATACTAGCTGACCCGGCAAATATTGTGCAGCCATAAGAAATATTTCTAGAAAAATTTTAGTATTAACTAGTGTATGGCATCGTGCCTTAGGACAGATTGCTGGAACTTACCGTACCGTAACGAAATGTTCGAAAAAAATTAAATATTCTCAAATAGATTATTATAAATACTGTAACTTATATATGTTTACAGTATAATAAATGAGTAAAAGTAAATAAATAAATCTCAATCAATCAAATTTAATATAAAGGACATTGTCTTATCATTAATAAGAATTTATAAGAATAATATAAACTGAATTACAAAGTTAAAATTAATTATTTCAAGTATATAAGTAAGCTTTCGAACTTTTAATTTAAACTAAAATTCGAATTATTTTAAATCACAAAAAAATTTTTTGGGAATTATAAAAAAAAATTATTTTTTTTTTTCCAAAATCAATAGTTTCGTCAACACGCGCAGTAAGTTTTTTGTATCGGATGTTCCGTTCTCTCAAAAACTTGATTTCTATTTTCTGCACTCTTTGCTCTGTATCTCCGTAACGGCTGGACCTGCCTTTGCCAAAAACTAATCAGCACATCTCCCTATTGATAAGAATCGAATGTTTTTTGAGCCATTCAAATCGGTTGATCCGTACGCCCGAAAACGTGGATGAAAAATTGTATCCATACATACATACACACACATCCATGGTATACATGCAAAATGTTCAGAAACCTTCAAAACAAGAAGAAATGCAAAAATTTTCAATTTCGATTTTCGGACCATTACTATAACTTACCTTAACAGATGTTAAAAATATAAAACAAGTCTTAGGGTTGGACAACCCTGGATCAAAATAAATTATTTTTTAGAGTAAAAAAATAAATTATTTTTTAGAGTAAATTTTAACCTTTTTCATAAATTCTATAAAATTTGAACTAATAATAAGTCAAAAACATTAACTCAAGTAGAATGGGAAAGTTAAGTCATTAACAGCAAGTAGAATGTAAATGTGTTCGATTTGATGATTTGAAAATGACTTGCAAAATTGGGGTTTTTTGAAAAATTAGAGCCTTATATGAAGTGTAAAATGGTCGAAAAATAAAAAAAATCTTGGGAGCGGCCAACCCTTACTACTATATATGAAAAATAGGTGTAGTCCTATACTCAGTGGTATTCATACTGAACGTGGTAGTAAAATTTCATAAAAATTGGTCAAGCCGATTATACATAGATAATAATCTTTTTTTTCATTTTCAGGATTATGGTAGGATAACAAATGAAATAGCAGACTTTTTCACAGAGCAAGGCATAACACAGGCGACGATACAACCCGAGTTCAGCACCTCGCAAAAAAGTTGCATCAGGATCGGAGAATGGACAAGAACCAATAGGTTTGTGAAACAAATTCTATTATTTATAATAATATTTATTTATATAAGTAGTTAAACTTTTATTATACTAACTTTAGTTCGAACAATTATTTCGTGCGCATGGGAACAGACCGAATTTGTAACAATAGAAGTAGGCTTTGGTTTGGATTAAATCTCGTTTTCTGTTCCTAATCATATGTGTAATTAATTTTAAACATTTATACAATAATTTATCTTATATATAAAAATGGATCGCAAAATGTGTTGGTAAGCGCATAACTCAACAACGCCTGGACCAATTTGGCCAATTCTTTTTTTAAAATGTTCGTTGAAGTCCAAAGATGGTTGTTACGGTGAGAAAAAAACGAATAATTGCCGGGAAAACCCTAAAAACAGCCCTTTTCTTTTTTAATCGAGTAGGCAACGCAATTTGTAAAAAAAACAATGATCTATGTCATGACATTTTGTGTAGTTTTTGATAATCTGATTTTGAATATATTTATATAAACATAGAAATATCTTTTTTATTAATCAAGCTATATTGGCAGCCAAAAACATTGATGTAAATTAATTAAATTTCAAAATTCAAGAACAAATTACAGGCGAATCAGTTGATTCGGCAACTAACCAAGACGATCCACCGGAGTTTTTAAACTCACTGGATTTGCTAGGATTGTCACCTAACAATCTTCAATTAAAGTTTGGATCGGCAATTATAATGTTGCGAAATATCGACCAACTATATTCAAAGGATAGTATAAAGCAGAAGATGTTCTCGCACCATGCATCTCAATGCGTTTCCAGTGCGTTTATGGTATCATTAAGTGTTTGTGGTATTAATTTAGAAAACCCATGTTTCTCACATGGAAAATTGTATGTTGTTTGTTCCCGTATTGGAAAACCATCAGATTTGTTTGTCTATGCGCCAGGTAATCAAACAAAAAACATCGTTTATCACAAAGCACTACAATAAAAATTGAACTGATAATTGAATTATGATTTACATTATTAAAATTACTTACTTTTAAATGCTTATAGTGTTTTATTTAATTATTTTTAATTCACACCGAATGATTACCAGGGTGACGGTTCTGTTCAGGATAATTTTTTGCAAAGAATAGAAAAAAGGTAGGCACAAAACACCGCCACATTACAATTTTTTTTGACAGGACTAAGTCTGTCGGGCCGGCTAGTTTTTAATAAAAAGAATTTCTAAGTTGGTGACCCAACATAATAAATTTACTAAATAATAGCTTTTTATGCGAGTCCGTAAAAGAAAGATTATATAAATCAATCTATTTTCTACACCAGATGCCTGTCTGATGCGTTGTCCAGGATCTGAGAGGTGCAGGGCGAACAATTGTTGCGGAACCAGCCAACACGACAGCCATAGGGGTTCAAGGGCCGATATTACTGGTCCTTATAAACGAGGGGTAATTATTAATAATAATATTAATAAGTAAACAAGTGTTCAAATGATAAAATCTAACTTCCAATCCCCAGTCTTCCAGTTTGGTATCAATCAAGGTAGACGACAAGCAAGACCACGACAAACACAAAGAAGTACAAATAAACGTCCTGAATCTAAAACAAAAATACGATTTACAACATCCCGATCACATATTCCAACAAATATCAAAAAGTACCGAAAATATCATAACATCGACAGGAGCAAAATCAGGAGCAACGTCGAAAAACAAACTGCCATCCGACGAGGAGAAATTAATATCGAACCAGTATTCGAAATCGATGATAGACGTGCACAGCTTCAGGGCGGACGTGAAAAATATTTTGAAAAAAAACGACATGGGGAAAAGATCTGCCGAAAGTGACATCAATGACACGACAGATGTCACGGGTCACGTGACAGATGTCAAAAGAGACGCGACAGATGTCACGGGTCACGTGACAGATGTTAAAGGTCACGCGGTAAATGTCACAGATCACGTGACAGGTGTCAAAAGTGACGCGGCGAATGTCACAGGTCACGTGACAGACGTCACAGGTCACGCGACATATGTCACAGGTCACGCGGGAAATGTCACGGGTCACGTGACAGATGTCAAAAGCCACGTGACAGATGTCAAAAGTGACGCGACAGATGTCACAGGTCACGTGATAGATGTCAAAAGTGACGTGATAGATGTCAAAAGTGACGCGACAGATGTCACAGGTCACGTGACAGATTTCAAAAGTGATGCGACGGATGTCAAGGGTCACGTGACACAAGTCAAAAGTGACAAAGAACAGGAAATGCAACGATCATAGTATTTAGAAAATATTTTTAGATTTATCTGTATGCTTATATAGTTTATTTTAAATAATACAGGCCCATTCTGCCGCACAACAAACAAATGTTATGGCAAGGCCATGTTACGCTCCAACTTCCATACATCATGCTACTGAATCGTACTGTCCAAATGCCATGTATTTGCTGTGCATTCAGGCGTTTTACACATAAACTGCAACGTTACTCGTATGTTATGAAGCTGTGTCAGAAACACCCTGTTATCTAACATCGTTTTTGTTTTGACATTTGTGCGGCTTCTAGATTATGTTCTCTATCAGAATTCGCCTGATAGCACACCAACCGCATGACTTGTCAATATTAGTATGGAAAGTTCTTCATAACATGGCCTTGCCATAACATTTTTCTCTTATGCGGCAGAATCGGTCCCATAGTTTATTTTAAATAATTCTAATAATAATTATTCAAGCGTTTGTAAATATTCGTTTCAAATTTTAATCAAGAAATTAATTTTTAGAGAGTAATAAATAAATTTTTAACGTCAAATTTAGCTAAAACAGCTTTTCATCTTTAACAAGTTATTATTTACAAAGTATTAAATATGTAATATTAATTTATGTTTAAATAATTCGCAGAATTATCTGCGTGACGGTTGTGCCTTCAAAGTTGTGTTCAAAACAAATGTTTATGCAACAAAGTATTTATTAATAAATAAATAGATATACATTAGGGATGTACGCAATTTGCAAAAATTCGAAAATTAATAGTAAATAAATTTTCAAGTATTTTATCAATAAATAAATTATTTGCAACTGAATTTGAATTTACACTAAGAAAAAATTATCTATTAATAAGTTACGTTTTTCTAGTGACATCATGCAGCAGTGATATCAATTTTCAATCAAAAATATAGATAAATTTGTTGAAAAAAATAATTGTCTACGATAATTTTTACTTATTGTAAAATATTATTTGACTATATGTAAAGAAAGTTAATGATTAATTTAATTTTAAACTAAAATCTGATATTGCTTATACGAGTATGATTATTAATATTTTTTCCATATATTAAAACAGAATTAAAGAAGCGTAAATACGTCTCATTTAAGTATTGAAATAATTTTAAAAAATTAATCAAAGTTTGCAAAATTTTTGCACATCCCTGATATGTATATATATATATAAATATAAATATATAATTAAATTTATTCAAGGCAAAAAGAATGATGCAACTTGAAACTTAAAACTGATTTTAAATATTTTTTATGTAAATTTTATTTGATAATTAAATGTTTTATAAAAAAATGTTAGTGAAAAAATTAGTTTTTGAGTTGTGCCAATCTACTTGCCATGTAAAGACATCCAAAGACTAAACGTATTAATATATAAATAATAATTAATGTAATTATTACATAATATGGTGGTCCTTAATATGGATATTTTCGAATTTCTTTGCTGCTCCCAGGGGCTCAAATGCTTCCAAAATAATTTAAAAAAATTCTCTGAAAGTTTTAGCTCTTAATATTAACATTTAGATAGTCCGCCATTCAAATAAAAGTTCCTATATTCATTATTAACATATGTCATTAAGTAAATTATTGCGCCATCTGTGATATCATTTGTGAACTCAAATATTAAGGCGCTTAAAAACATTTATAAATCACTTAAACTCTAATGAAATCCATGTGGACTATTTAACAAAACATTTATTAATCATGGCATTAAAATTAATTTTGCAGCAAAATATTTATATAATTGGTGATTCTGACACTCAAATTATCAGTAATAAATTGCCATCAAAATTGTGAGTCTGCTATCACAGATGGCGCAAGAATTTACTTAGTAATGATTATACAAAACTTTTAAATGAATTGCGGACTATCTAAATGCTATTATTAAGAGCTAAAATTTTCAGAGAAATTTCTTTTATTAATTTGAAAGCATTTGAGCACTTGGGAACAAAAAAAATCTCGAAAATGTCCATATTAAGGACCACCCTAATTGTTTAGATTTCGTTTGAGTTTTATAATTCTTATTTGTTTGTTAAAACAGAAACATCTTGATGGCTTGTTGATGTTCTGTTTATCTGTATATATATATATATATATATATATATATGTACATTTAATATAAATTACTAAAATCAACGGGTATAAATAAACAAATCCATATCTCATTTGCATTTAATACAAGCCAACGACTTAGTCATTAGGTATTAATGCAATGTATTTGTAGATGTATATTATAATTTTAACAATATATAATAAAATGTTATAAATACAAACGAACAGAAGTGTATTAATACAAAAAAAATTTAAAATTCACCAAAATTTAATTAAGATATAATTTTAGTACATTAATAAAAGGCGAACCACTGAGTTGTCCTTTTAAAAATCTATGTTATTTGTCAAATTAATTACTCAATGTCTTTCTATATAGACAGATAGCAATTTATAAGAAAAAAAATTAAAATTCAATCAAATAAAATAAATATGCCTTAATCAAACCGCGATAAAACATACAATGTTTATTGATGCAAAAAAGATCTGATTATATTCATTACAAATTAGTTAAAAAATATATTTCAACCGTTTTTGAATTAAAATCTTTTTTAATAAGTGTTGTAATATATTTTATTTGATAATAATTAATTTATGCAATTGATTTTGTCGAGTCTATTATACAACTTCTACACTAAATAAATTCTATAATAATATATGTTAAAAAAATGTACGAAACTTTTAATTGAATTGCGGACTATCTAAATGTTAATATTAAGTGCTAAAACTTTCAGGAAATTTTTTAAAATCATTTTGGAAGCATTTGAGCTCCTGGGAGCAAAGAAATTCGAAAATGTCCATATTAAGGACCACCATAATTGTTTAGATTTCGTTCGAGTTTTACAATATGTATAAATAAATAAATAATCAAATAATTAAATAAATCAATTATTTTTTATCTCATTTGCTAGATAAATAAATCTGTGAAACTTTTCTGTATAAACAAGTTTGTTTTCTTCGAATTGTTCGAATCAAAAAAAAATTCGTGTCGGACATCACTAATTTCAACGCGCTCGGAATAGTAATTTATTTTCAATCGTAATTTTAAAGTATACGGAGTTGCTGTAGAGATCTATAATATTAGACAACATTGTTCACAAATTATTTTTGTATAATTTTGTTAAATATTTCGTTTAAATCGGACAAGTATTTTAAAAGTTACAGCAGATTTTATAAATAAACGCATAGATCGGATAAATTCAACGCGCTCAGAATGACAATATATTTTCAAGGATGATTTTAAAGTATACCGAGTTGATGCAAAGCTATATAATATTAGACAACATTGTTTACAAATTAATTTTGTATATTTTTGTCAAATATTTCATTTAAATCGAACAAGTAGTTAAAAAGATACAAGTGATTTTATAAATATATGCACAGATGCAATAAACTTGATGTACTATAGTTGAAGACACGTAATTGCGTGTAGACTATTTTCAATTGACATTTTTAAGTACGCCGAGTTGTTTTAGGATTTTACAATGTTAGAAAATGTTATATATAATTTAATTTTCTATAATTTTTTCAAAGATTTCATTTAAATCGGACAAGTAGATTGAAAGATACAACAGATTTTATAGATAAACGCATAGATGTAATAAATTCAATGCATTCAGAATAATAATATATTTTCAATAGTAATTTTAAAGTATACCGAGTTACTTTACGATACTGCAATATAAGAAAAAGTTTTTTATAATTTAATTTTGTATAGATTTTCCTAATATTTCACTTAAATCGGACAAGTAGTTTGAAAGTTGCAATTGATTTTATAAATAAATGCACACGTTCAATAAAGTTGATGTACTATGCACCCAGTTCTTAGTACCAATTTTATTTTTACTTATTTATACCAGTAGTCCATTTTCAATTTTATTTTTAAGTTGCTGTAGTATTTTATAATGTATAGAAATGTATTGTTTGTATAATTTCATACAAATTTGTCGAAAATTTCGTTGAAATCGAACAAATACTTCAAAGGCACGCAAATTTCATAAATAAATGCAAGTTGCAAAACTACATTTTGACGCACCAAATTATTTCACAATATAAGAAATTTTAGTTTATAACTTAATTGTTAAATAGTGCATATGCATATACATGTTATAATAATACATATTACATAAACAATGCAGATATTACATGCAATGTAATATGTATGTTATACACATGTTATATGACAAAAACTATAAGCTATCCACTAACCTGCAAATTGTGTACAAATCCTTCCCGAGCATCGTCTTCATATTTTTGCACAAATCACGCACAAACACTGATTTTTGAACACTCAAATGATTTAAAACTTAAAACTTGAAAAGCAAACATTTATTAATAACTTATTACGTTAAAAGACTATTATTAAAACTAAATAAAATAAAATAAATGTGCAAGAACCGTTTCTTCTTTGCAGCTGTCAGAATAATTTCGTTACGAATGACCTGAAGTATCCGGCAAAAGTTGACAGCTGAAGTTGGGTACAGATTGGTATTAATTGGAATAACGAACTTAGCCACGGAAGACATTTTGTTTTGGCACGACTTTTAAATATATCGATAATTGAATGATAATTGTATTATGCACATAAATAATAACTGTCGACTTTAATAATCTTTTAAATATCGTTCGCTCACTGCACTTTAACTGTTGACAAAAATAACAACAAAAATGTCTCCATCAACTTAGAATCCCTAACCTAAAAATACATAATAATATATAATCTGTCCTTCAATGATGACAACCGCTCTCCTAGCAATGGATTTTTGACCGTTACTTTCAAATATCACTAAACATGATAAATAATATATCTTATATATAAAATTCTTCTGTAATGATGTATGTAAATATACTCCTCAACGATTATTCGGATTTTAAAAAATCTTTCTGAAGTTTGTTAATGGATTTTTTTAGGATGTATGATTATAAAAATATAGTAATATTGTAGAAATAAATAGAAAAAAATGCAATAAACGACATTGAAAATATTTAATACATTGCTTGGCATTGAAAACAGATGAAAACGATCATCTGAAAAAAATTTCAATTTACTTATGAGCCTAGACAATATTAGAATATGTATTACAAATTCATGATTATGAATAAGAAAAATATAGTAATATTGTAGAAATAAATAGAAAAAAATGCAAAAAGACGACATTGAAAATATTTTATATATTGCTTGGCATTGAAAACAAATGAAAACTACAAAAATTTCAATTTACTTATGAGCCTAGACAATATTAGAATATGTATCACAAATTCATGATTATGAATAAGAAAAATGTAATGTCTACATTATTATTGCCAAAAAAACAGCTGAGATGTACCAGAAATTAAAATAATATAATATACAGTATATGTTTGGCAGATTGAATGATATACATATGAACAGGATTTGACAAATTAATTCACTCATATATGACAAATTTAGGAAATATATAATTTTTTTTGCATTGTTTACTAATCTTTGCACAATATTTTTGAAAAACGTTATAAATTTCACTTTAAAACAACAAATTGGGAATTAAAGATGAATACATACACTTTGTCTGTCGGGTCACCTAGTATATATAGATATATATATATATATATATATATATATATATATATATATATATTGTATGATTCTGAATTTGATGTTGACACATGTATTAACAAAGTCTAGTAATCGGGCATAACATCAATAAAAAACATGAATTTATTTCTAAATTTATTTTAAATTCATACGTTTCGGCTATAATCCTAGCCTTCATTCAGTGGAAACTAGAAATAAAATTAAAAACTAAAACAATTGAATTGGAGTGAAAAGAAAAATATGGATTATTAAAATTTTCCAATTTAACACTAAGATTAACTAATTGTAAATACTATTTACTATCTTATTTTTTTTTCACTCCAATTCAATTGTTTTTAGTTTTTAATTTTATTTTTAGTTTATGATACTAATTGATTACTTAATAGATATTAATCTTTTTCATGACTATTTTAAATACTTTTTATAATGATGATTGTAAAAAGTTTTAAAAAAATATAATCTTTACTTATTCATTTATATATGTACAGATCATATAAATATATATAATACATTATACATACAACTGAATATTTTTGTCATATATAATATATATAGGACATATAATATATATATATATATATATATATATATATATTAAGTATATATATAATATAATATATATACTTAAATATATTTTATAATACTATTACCCTATTAATCACTTTCCTCCTCGCTTTCCTCGCTGGCCTCTTCAAGCCATTCGACAAGTTTAGACAATAATTTCTGCAAATCATCATCTAATAAATTGTTCCAAGCAATGATGCAATCCTCGCTTACAACATCAGCATCATATAAATAATGAACTATTTTCGATAGACCTGTCTTCACAAAAGCATGTGTCTCACACGAATCCTAAGAGGAAGATGAGATTGTAATAGAAAAAAGTCGAATAAAGTCAGAAGAAGTAAAAATACGGAGGGATACGTTCCAGATAAAAAATCCGCAAATACAGAATGGCATTTTATATAGGATTATAAGGAATACTTTCCAAGATGGCAAAGTAATCCGAAAATAATAAAAAAATCCGCAAATAAAGGGTGGCATTTTATATGGAATTATAAGAGATATGTTCCAAAATAACAAAATAAAAAAGTACTATTATTTAATGTGCAATATCTTAAGTATAAGAGATCCCATGTTAAATTTAATTAGTAACTAGTTAGGTAATGATATTTTGCCTTGAGGCAAGTTACATGAACTTCCCGATATGTGTAAATAATCAACTTAATCAATAAAAAATAAATGAATTTATGAGTGATTAAAAGTATTCCGAGTGGATTTATTACACATAAAATTGAAAACGAACAAACACGTTAACTCGGAGTATTTTCTAAGAGCAAATTTTTACAAATCAACATTATTTATAATTGAACCAGTTTCCGTAGGCCTTTAATGAATTAATATGTTCATTAAGACCAAGTACTCTATCGTTATATCAAGTAAATCGACTAATTTTAATTTTAACAAACGTCAAAAAAACTACTAATTTTTTCAAACTTTGATGAATTTTTAAAATTAAACTACTTGTCGTAAGGACGTAATATTTCATTAAGTTCTATAAGATCATGATATATATCGCCAAAAAAAGTTCCATGAAAATCGGCTAGATTTTTTTTTCAACAATTAATTTCAAGAAAACGGCTCGGTAGGTTTTCACCTAAAACTAATCAGAATTATTCCCAACTAATATCTTTCGAACAGTTTTTGATTTTTTAAAATCGATTCGGTAGTATGAGCTTAAATGTGGACGAAAAATTTAACATTTTTTTTCCAAATTACAAAGGAACGGCTCGGCCGATCGTCGCACAAAACTGAGAAACGATAATCCTCATCGAGATACATCAAATGGTTTTTTCAATTTCTGAGATCGGTTCAGGCGTTTTTGAGCAAACGTCGATGAAAGGTCTAATTTTGACAAATGACAAAAACACGATACTAATTTGGCCAATCCTTGAAGAATTTTTAAAATTAAACGACTTGTCGTAGGGCCGTAATATTTTAGTATGATCTACAAGACTATGGTATCTACCATCAAAAAAATAATAATAATTTTTTAACACTTTATTACAAGAAAACGGCCCGGCCAATCTTTAGCAAAAACTAATCAGCACGATTTCCAACCAATATCATTCGAACGGTTTTTGAATTTTCAAAATCGATTCAGAATTGCGGACTAACACGTGGACGGAGATTTTTTCACTTTTCTGCTATTTACAGAGAAACGGCTTGGCCGGTCGTCGCGCAAAAATGATAAACGCTAGTCCTTATTGAGATACGTCAAATGGCTTTTAGATTTTTGAAATCGGTCCAGCCGTTTTTGAGAAAACGTCGATTTACAGTGAAAAATCTGTTAACACACACACCACACACACTTTTTCTAAATTCTATCTCATGACTTGAAACGTCGAGACAACATAAAATTAGCGAATCGCAATTTTTGATGAAAACATAAACTTCTCCTTCGGGAAAGTAAACTATAACTAGTAATATATATATATTGTTAGCGAAATATATTGTGTGAATGTTTGAATGCATGTTTGAATATGGCGCGGATCATGACAGTTCCGTGCAGTTGGTAAGACTTGAGAGTATGTGTGCAGTTGGCATTATTGACAGTACGTATTGAAAGCGTAGAGACGAACTGGTGAGATATTATAATAAAAGTTAAAGAATACTGCACCGTGTTGTTTTAATTTATAGAGTCCTGACAAATAATTAATTATAGAGAATATAGACAATATATATATATATATATATATATATATATATATATATATATATATATTAATCTACTACTGACCTCTATCGCCTTCAAACAGTCGTTCATAGCATCGGTTCCCTTTATATAGTTCAGCATAACCGGGGTGAAATATTTCAATACTTCCATCGTAGTCGCCAGTTTCTCTTGAGAATTCTGAATTTGTGGTAAGCTAAATAGCGCCCTGATAACGAAATAGTTGACCTCGTTCAGTGCCATATTGTAGGCGTATCTTGATGAATTTATTTCCAGAATTAAATAGTCGCAGTTTAGACGCTCGTCGAAGCCTCGGGCCAGACTGTCGATGACTTCAGAGAGGAAAACTGAAATAGAAGAAGATAATTGATATATCTTATATATGAAAATGAATCGCAAAATGTGTTGGTAAGCGCATAACTCAACAACGCCTGAACCAATTTGGCCAATTCTGTTTTTAAAATGTTCGTTCAAGTCCAAGGATGGTTCTTACGGCGAGTCAAAATCAAATAATTGCCGGGAAAACCCTAAACACAGCCCTTTTCTTTTTCACATACAAACGTTTTCTAACTAAAACGTAGAATCAATTTGAGCTTTATTGCAATTATATAAAGTTCATATCAAATTACAAGCACTCACTGTATACTCCTTCTAAACGATTATTCGGATTTTGATAAATCTTTCTGAAGTTTGTTAAGGAAATTTTCTAGGATGTATGTGATTATAAAATACTGGGATTCATGCGCAATATTGTAGAAATAAATAAAAAAAATGCAAAAAACGACATGTCATTGCTTGCATCGAAAACAAATAAAAACTGTCATCCGCCAAAAATTTCAATTTACTTATGAGCCTAGACAATATTAGAATATGTATGATAAATTCATGATCATGAATAAGAAAAATGCAATGTCTACATTATTATTGCCAAAAAGCAGCTGAGATGTGCCAGAAATTAAAATATAAGATACAGTATATGTATGGCAGATTGAATGATTCACATATGAAGAGGATGTGCTAAATTAATTCACTTAAAATATGAAATTAAGTAAAGTATAAGTTATTATATAACGAATTGCCAAACGATATTAAGATGACCAATGATGACAATAAATTTAAAGGAAAAATAAAGAAATACTATAAAGAAATTGAAGACAAAGAAGACTGAATGGCTATATATAAAGATAGAGATGTTTTAATTATAATAGATATTATAATAATAAAATAGATATTATAGTCAAATGAAATGTATATACAAAATATGAAAACTGTTTTTCATAATCTCTCATACCAGGCACCTCTGACTGAGATATGAAAATAATGTATATATATAAATAAAAAAAAGTAATAATCAAGGCCGTTCCTGCCTTGAATTTAAGAAATCTATCATTTCTTTGCCTCTTTTACTAATCTTTGCACAATGTTTTTAAAATAAGTTAAAAATTTCACTCAAAAAAAACAAATGGGAAAGTAAAGATGAATACATACAATTCGGCCCTTACGATATCAATTAAGAGAAGTTTAAGATGCAATTTTGGATATCTTAAATAACAAAAAATTGAATTAAAATAATCCAACATGAAGTGCCAGTGGTATGTTATGATTATGTTTAATAATGAAATGCTAGAATTTTTTTTGCTCTCTATGATTTGCTTAATAGTATAAATCACATAAAATGCCCAAAATAAATAAGTAAAATGTTTCAAAAGCCAAATATTAATTAATGATAATAATTTTAATAATAAACTGTTGAAACAGGTAAAATAATTGAAAGGGGGGTTGAGGACCCCGGGAGCGTCCCTGCTAATAATGTATATTAAATTATAACTAAGAAAAATGTAATTTAGATTTTATAATTACCAAAAACCAGTTAAAATATGATACGAAATTATGAAAATTACAGGCAACATTATTGGAGCAATTATTTTGGGTGGAAAAATCCAAGGTAATATTGCACTTTTATCGCGGATAATATAATTTTTTTTGAATTTATCATACCGTTCAAAAGACTTCAATTTCCATAACATAGTATGGAAATTGAGACTCAGCATTTTATTTAGAGCAGTTCTACATTTAACATCGCTAATATTGATGTATATGCATTTTAGTGTAAAAAGTAATTTAAAAAACAATAATTATTATTTTTAGGCAAACAATATGTATGAGTATAGGATATTAAAAAATTGTAGGCGTGGGTACAGGACAACGTCTGCCGGAGTCATCTAGTATATATACATACACACACACATATATATATATATATATATATATGTGTATATATATATATATATATATATATATATAAAATATATATATATATTATATATATATTAAACAGACATATATAATTTCTATTACCGTTACTATCTTCCGGTACAGGACTCTTTCCGGCTTCGGAGACATCATCATCATCACTAGAAATATAATCACTCAAAGGACTACTCGGCCTAAGTTTTTCTAAAATGATTTTAGTCTCCTTTTTTTCTACTTTGTCATCATCATCGTCGCTGTCGCTGTCCAAATCCAAATTCGATATCGCAAATGCTTTATCGGCTAACCGAGTACAACGAATCTCTGAAAAATAAAGTTAATTATGAATATATATATATATATATATATATATATAAAGTAATTCCTTTACTACCTGCTTCATAATCGTCATCATGACACTGCACCAGCTTTTCCTCAACAAACATCTTCTCCGGTATAACAACTTTCTGTCCCAAAACACAACTTGATACATTTGATTTAGTCTTCAGGTGGCTTCCAAAGCCTATCACAGAATTCTCAACATTGCAATCGTCCTCGACAACGGTTCCATCGAATAAATATGAATGCATAATTTTAACACGTTTTCCAATCCTACAATTCTTTCCAATGATCGAATTCGTGATGTAAGCTTGTTCTTGTATTTGAGAGTTTTCTGAAATCACGACGTCTTCTTTGAGATTAACAGACCTAGGAAAAACAAATATAATAAATCTTATATATAAAACTGTTCTGTACGGGTGTATGATTTGATACTTCTCCTAAACGATTATTCGGATTTTGATAAATCTTTCTGAAGTTTGTTAAGGGATTTTTTAAAAATTTAATGAACTATAAAACTATAGTAATATTGTTTAAATAAATGGCCAAAATTACAAAAAACCACTTATCATTGTTTGACATTGAAAACATTTGAACTGTCATCTGCTAGAAATGTCGATTCATTTGAAATTTGAATTTAGCAGAAATTATGAGTCTAAACAATATTAGAATATAATATACAAGAAAAGTGTAATGTCTACATTATTATTGCCGAAAAGCAGCTGAGATGTGCCAGAAATTAAAATAAAATAAAATACAGTCAACAGTATATGTTTGGCAGATGAAATTATATAATTCAGTTTAATAAATAACGCAATTTTAAATTTATGCATGTCGCATTTTGGTTTACTTTACTAAATTATTTAACAATACAAAAAAATATTTCTACTTATAAAAAAAATTATTTAGAATTTTGTTTCATGTGACAAAAATTCATTCGTTTGTCATTGGATATGGAATATTTAGCAAGTTGATCTTAGGTGAATTAATTTGTAAAATCGAGTTCATATCAATCTAACATAAACAATCATGTTTATTAAATTATTAGTGAATTAGAGAAAAATATACTTTAGAAACTATAATTGCCAAAAAGCAACTAATATATCGTACGAGATTATGAAAATTATCAACTAAATTATTGAAGCAATTATGTTGTGTGGTAAAATCAAGTGTGATATTGTTCTCTTACCGCAGATACTCTATTATTGAAGTAAAACTTCTTTAGGCGCGACTAGGGTGTGAATCTGTGAAAATGCAACGGAAGTCCGTTACGTGATTGGTCGTCGTGTCGCGTGAGAGTGTTCTTTGATTGTATGCGTATACTTAGTGAAAATGATACAACAAATGAAAAATCTGTGCCGTGTAAGAAACGAATTGAAATAAATTGTATTATTCGCGGTTAATATATATTTTTAGAAATTATCTATATAGGCAAGACACATACTACAGCTGCTCAAAGAATGAGACTGTATCGCCAGCGAAATAGTCAAAAAAAAAACAAGCAGTCAATGGATGTATGTTAATTTTAATTACATGCCAAGTGAAACAAATTTTTTAGTTCAAATGTCAAAGCTTACAATTTCATTTTACTATAAATTTACTATAAATACTGAAGAATGAATTGACATTTATATTTATAACCTTAAACAAGAAATCAAGCACAACAATATTTTGTGTTTGCTGTGTATCATTTATATACAGATATACTTCATAATAGACATATATGCAGTTTATTTATTGATAGTGTTAATAAAATTACTCAAGATTGTTTATATAACGGCTGTCCACTGTGTGAAAGAATATTATAGAATTTAGTAATCAGCAATTGCTTCATTTCTCTAATAAAGGTTCAAGTCCCAAATGCTAATTACAATGACAAACCGATCATGTCATATTTGAAGTATGATTTTAATTACATTATTGTTTTCAAATATTATAAATATTTTTAATGCTATTATGAATATATAATTTATAATTTATTATTATATAAATATGTAAAATGTTTGGCATTAAAAAATGTGTGCATTGTGAGTGTTATCATATTACTAAGAAACATGAATCAAAATTGTTATATGATGTATTTATTTCAAACTTAAATGCCATCTCATAAAATAGCAAAACAGTTTTACTTCAATTGCATGTGAACCTTATGCGCACTATTCTTTTTTCTAAATTTCTTATACTGCTTATGCTAAGACCATAAATAAATCACAAAGGCAGGACATCGAATAGGATATTAAAAAGTATACGTTAAGATATTAAAATACTTGGATCTTTTGAATTGTAGACGTGGGCACAAGACAACGTCTGTTGGGTCATCTAGTATATATATATATATATATATATATATATATATATATTTATATATATATATATATGAAAGTACTCACCTGCCAAGAACTGATGTCGATGATTTGTATATATTATTCTTCAACGTCATATATACTTGTTTGAATAATGAAATTCCCATATTCGGTACTAAAGGATATGTCCATCTGTTTACAATATCATGGCTGAAAAAAAAAATTATGATTAGTCAAACTAATTAGACTCTGTGTTAAATTGCAATTTTGGACTCATTGTGTTTTTATTAAACTGAATTATATAATTTCATCAGCCAAACATATACTATTGACTGTATCTTATATTATTTTAATTTCTGACACATCTCAGCTGCTTTTCAGCAATAATAATGTAGACATTACATTTTTCTTGTATATTATATTCTAATATTACTTAGGATCATAATTTCACATAAATTTCAAGAGAATTGACATTTCTAGCAGATGGCAGTCAATGTTAAACAATTATTGTTTTTTTGTCATTTTTGTCATTTATTTCTACAATATTACTATAGTTTTATCGTTCATTAAATCTTAAAAAATTTCTTTGACAAACTCTAAAAAGATTTATCACGATCCGACCATGAAGATACAACCGTGCAGAAGAATTTTATATATAAGATTTATTATAATTGTTAAATTAAAAGCAATTACCTCACAAGTTGATACATTTGCCAATTATCAACCCTCGCAGCATAACTATTATGAGTCAATGGATAACAATACAAAGTGCTCCCTAAAATTTCTTCATTGATTAATAACCCTCTGATAAAATCATCTCGAGTTTGAAAATCAAAGTTGTCTGTAAACAATGATAAGAAAACAGGAGAACAGATGGCAATTCCTGGATCTTGTACATCATGGTGCATTTCTACTTCTGGGTGATCCAAGATCACTTCCTAAAACAAATTCAATTGATAATTTGCCTTGTACAAATGTAGTATTACTATTTATATTTACTAACCAGTGGCAACGTTATATTCCTCTGTTTCTTTTCAGGCCTTTGATGATATAAAATTCTATTATTAGAAGCATCCAGTGCTAAAATAACATCCTCAGAACACGACTGTCCATATCCGGTTGTTGTATAAACTAGAGTCATTGCAGCACCTTTATCCTTCTTACATTGTTGTCTAAAAAATAAAAAATAATTAAGATGCGATACATGATAATGTTAACTTAAATGAAGATATATACTTGTGAAATTCCATGACTTCTGATAAATTGACATTTGTGACTGTATTAGCTCCTAAAAGTACAAAATTTGATCTAAGTAATCCTTTGGCATCTAAATCTCTGATAGCATCTCCGAAGGAACGACAACCGTCAGAACTCACAATTTGTATGGAAAGTGTAAGAGACCAACTGTGACGTGATTCAATACTTGAACTATAAAAAACAAACAGCTAAATGTAGTTTATGTATTTTGTATATCAATATGGCTTTTACAATAACATACCTTATAAAGTCTTTAATTTTTTTAATATGTGTAGAACAAAATAAAAATACTTCTTGAATACCAGACAGAGATAGAGCCTCCAACGTGTAATCTAGTAGTGGTACATTTACTATTGGAACCAAAGCCTGGAAACAAAATTACAAATTGGTACTTGGTAAGTAATGAATTTTAAACAATATCTTTACAAAACCGCAGATTGTTCATATTACAATTCCACAACTTACTAAAGGCATTTCATCAGTCAAAGGAGCTAAATTTCTGCTGAAATTATCAGCCAAAACAACTGCCTGCAGTACATCTTCTTGTTGAACAGATTCTACTAAGTTTTTCTTTGCGTTTTTGTTACTCATTTTGCACAAATTTAATTTAAAAAATATATAAGTTTTGCACAACCTGCATTAACCTCAAAATGTTTGAACCAATTTGACGTTTAGATCAGTATTGCCAGATGAGAAAGATATTTATAACTAGAGACTTAATTTTGTATACCCAAAATTTTAATACTATTAATAAAACAATAATAATAAATAAATTATGATTTAAAGATTTCACGCTAATTTATTTGATAAATTCGAATAATTTGAATCGATAAAATGTATCTGACTTCTAGATTTTTCCTCTCTCGCTCGGTATAAATCATCTCCTCTGGCAACACTGCCAGTAATGACATTTGATAGCACACTTGGCATGTCAAATAATTTACAATTCCAACAATATTTATACATTTTCGTATAAATTTATTTATAATTTAAACAGTTTTGAAACGCCAGCATATGAATTAAACTCAATTCAGTCTTCCTAGAGATCGGGAATGTTTAACATATTAAATTCGAGGATCAATATTTCATTTAACCAGGACTTGTACTAGGATGGATTTTGGATCGTTATTACATGTAGCGAAAAAAAATGAAAATGTTAAAAAAGAGGTATTAATTTATTAGTGATAAATATAAGGAATCAGAATTTTAATGATTTATGAAAGGGCTTAGTCATAGTGTTATACCAGATTGAATTTTTGTTCGTTGAAAAATTTAGATTTTGTGGACAATGAGTGGATTTGAGTTGTTGAAAAAAATAATTTATACAATATTATATAATTAATTAATATGAGACTCTCTCTCTCTCTCTCTCTCTATATATATATATATATATATATATATATATAAATGAATGGTTTGTAATATAATTATTAAGTACTACTATACTATTTGTAATATTATGTACCAAGAAAATTTCACTTTTAAAGGACTATGTCATAAAGTTCTATTACCTTTTCGAACTCTTCTAATAGCATTAATACTAATGATCAGATCACATTCTTTTACATGATTCGTATTCAAATTCTTACATTTTTCAATGATTATTTAAAGAATTCTCTTTGTCTCTTCGACTTGGTTGATAGGATTTATACATATACGTGTATAGCCCAAGTGGTTTTGTATTCAATTTTAAAAATCACACATCAAATACTACTTCTCTATAAAACATATCAATATCAAATATTTCTATAACGTAAATTTACTCAAAATAATTTGGTTCCTCAGTCTTCACTCTGTTTATATTTCTATTTATAGAAGTGTTTTATTTCATTTCAATATTTCTTTATAGTCCATTCCACTTACAATTTTATTATACGACTTATTTGATTATTTATATTCTAACCTTTCATTTATAATTTTATTATATAACATTTTATATTACACTCACGATCATTTTATTATTTATATTAAATTTGATCATCATATATTTTACTATTAGATTTGTCATTATTAACTTCACGTAGTAGATCCCGTAGGATAAGTTATTGTAATCATCCAAAATCTTAAATGACCAATTTTTACATTTCTTCACGGTTCAAAGGTTTAAATTCAGTTTAATATTGTATATGAGTCATTTAATCGTAAGAAATATATCCTCAGATGGATTCATTAGTCATCTCTTGTTATTGTAAACATTTTCAAGTGTTTTGTGCGATAATATTGTGACTGTATATTTTATGAACGAATGCATATATAGTAATTATAATAATCTCTTTGAAATATTTTTAAAACAATTGTTATTAATCATTGATCAATATTTATTGATTATTGTTATTATTATGATTTTTTTACTCTTAAATATTTCTGGTACGAGAAGTTCTAGCAATTTGCCTAAGGCACGATGGCATGCAGCACTAGTTTTTTTTTAAATTAAAAAAAAAAAATTTTGAATATCGAAAATAATTCGAATTTTAATTGCAATTCTAGCTAAATTTCTAAAAATTCATTTATATACTTCAAATAAATAATTTTAACTTAGCAATTCAGTTTGTACAATACTTATAAATATTAGACAATGTTCTTTATTTTAAATTCGTTTTGTTTATTTGGTTCTCTGATATAAATATAAATTACAGTATTTATAATAATCTATTTGCAAACATTTAATATTCCTCGAACATTTCATTTCATTACGGTACGGAAAGTTCCAGCAGTTTGCCTTAAGGCACGATGCCATGCACCACTAGTTATATAATTAATAATTATAATTATTTTGAAAATTCATGTTGTTAAAAATTAAAACACACTTGTAAAAGTTCTTGAAAATGATCAAAATCTTGGATTTGTAACTTCAGTGTAGTATTGGTTGAAAAGAAAAACCTCTCGCTTTATATAATCCAAGGGCTGAAAAATTGGACAATTTCAATATAAATATTCAAAAATTTTTGTCATTCTTAAGACATTGCTTTTTAAATATTCTACAAGTTTTAAGACTCAAGATTTTTTTGCAAGCCTACATATCAAGACCTTCTTGTTAGGACACTCAGGACCAATATCACACTGAAGTTACAAATCCAAGATTTTGATCATTTTCAAGAACTTTTACAAGTGTTTTTTTTTTTTTAATTTTTAACAACATGAATTTTCAAATAATTATAATTTCACTGCTATATATGGAAACAGTGCTCTCCATACAAATAAGCACTGAAGATGGGTCAAATCAAGACCCGAAACGTAGAGTTTCCTGAATAAAAACATTTTCTTTCAATAAAACTGTTTTTAATTACTGGATGGATGCCCAAGAAGAATTTTATTATATTATTTCACCATCTGAAGAAAAACCTCTCCCTAGAATATATATAGATATATATATATATATATATATATATATATATAATATATATATATATATAACTTGTCTTTTCCTATTTTCAGGTCAAATACTACTCTACCAAATTCGAGCCTCCCAAAAAGGAGCAAAGGGACAAGACCCAACTATCTATTAACATCCAAAAGTTCCTCGCCAAGAAAGAGGAAGAAGAAAAACAAAAAGCCTTAGAAGCAAAACGCAAACGCGATGAACTCCTAGCTAAACGCGACCCCAAACTAAGAAAAAAGATCTTAAAACATCTCAAAGTATGCAAAGTGCAAACAAATCAGTCCTAGCTAGCCGATGCCATAGATAATGAAACACTGCTGTCACGATACAAGGCATGGAGCAACCAGACGAAGACGACTATGGATTCGTTTCTGAGGCTGCTTCTGCTTACCACAATAAAATTATGGAGAAATATTACAGCAAACCGGAGGAGAAGAAGTTTTCAGATCGTATAAAGAATGTTAACAACGATTTGACCGGGATAAAAGACAGAGTTCGTGCTGCAATAGAACGCGAAAAAGAAGAAGCTCTGTTGCCTCATAAGAGACACCGCAAGACCAAAGCTGAAATGGCTGCCTTAAACGGTGATGATAGTGGTTTGAATTTCGGCAGATCTGTTCTCGCAGATTGTTACAGCAATGAACCTGAAAAAAAGCTTGAAGTCGTCAAACCTAAACCCAAACGACCTCCGATGCCCCCGCCTTTGGATTACACACAATTACTTAAAATCGCGGAACAAAAGAAAGACGAACCTATCAAAATTGAACCTAAGATCGAGAAAAAAGAACCAGAGCGTTTGATGACCAGCAAAGAACGACGAGAGTTCGAAGAAATGCAGGCAAGGAAACAGGGACGTAAACAAAGAGACTTGGATCGCTTGCAAGCTATGAAAAACAAGTCAAAAGGTGCCAGCAGTAGTAAATCTAGTGAGGAACAAAAACCTAAACCGGTTGTAAACAATCCGAGTGGTAGAATTCCTAAACTTAACGGCTACAAACCGAAACCAGAAGCTGATCGGCAATCCAAACCTTTACCAAATGACCCTCAAATGCGACCAAAACCTAGCCAAATATCTAAAACCTAGTTTGAACAACTCAAATACGAAACCAATGATGAACGGTTCTGCAAAAAGTGCACCACAAAAGCAGATAGCAGATTCTAGAAGTTCTGTTAAAAGCTCAACACAAAAATTGAATGGAGATGTAAGAAGTAGTGATAAACTTCAAAGCAAACCAAGGACGGCGGATGGTTTAAATAAATCAAAGGAATTACCTCAAAAGTCTCGACCAGAAGTTGCATCCAGACCGGTGAACGGTGACTCAAAGCCTAAAATAGCCTCAAAAGGTACCATCACTTTCTTTCTCACTTTATCAATATAAGTTAATAATTAACTTCCCGTAGGGCAAGTTATAGTAATCGCAAAAAAATCGAAAATGAAAATTTTTGCATTTCTCGACGTTTCAAAACCTTCTGAACATTTTGGCATACTTTAGAAAAAATGTATGTATGTGTGTGTGTGCGTGCGTTTGTGTGTGTTTTTCTGTGCGTGTGTGCGGATAAAAATTTTCGTAGACGATTTCGGGAATGATTCAAAAAACATTTTACTTGTATTAACAAGATGAAGAACTGATCAAATTTTCAAGAAGGCAGGTCTAGCGGTTTCGGAGATCTAGTAAAAAAAAGTTAAAAAAAAATGCCATTTGGACATTTGACCTGAATGATTATTAGACAAATGCACATCAAATTATCAGATATTTTATATAGAGATTTTAACAATAAGTATGAATTTTGTTTGCATTCCTATGGGTTCCGTACCAATGCTTATCAATTAGAAAGCGACGCGGCGCCTATGCGCTTCGATATTTCGTCTCTATGCAGTTAAAGCAGTACGATTGCTTTGAAAAAAAGTTCAGAATTTCCAAAATTTTTCAAAATGAATTTTTCTTCCAAGTCTTTTTTTTTCAAAAAAAAGTAAATTTTAGTCAAAAATTTATAGTTTCTCAAAAATCTAATTTTTTCAGAGCAAATTTTTTTCAAAAATGTTAATCTTTTTAAAAAAAAAAAATTTTGGTACGAAAAGTTCCAGCAATTTGCCTTAAGGCACGATGCCATGCGCCCCACTAGTTAATATAATTAATTATTATTTCTTCTAGGTAATCCCAATCCAAGACAATTTCCTCCTGCCGATACAAAAGCACCAAGTCGACAATTTCCACCAAGTGACACAAAACCCAAAAGTCGTCCGTTTCCGCCCCCTGATACAAAACAAACAACACGCCAATTTCCACCGAATGACATCAAGGGCACCCGACAGTTTCCACCGAATGATCTCAAATCGAGCAGACAATTTCCACCAAAGGATGTTCGACCTGCTGGGTCGAAGAAGAAAATTGTCGCTAGCAAAAGTAAGGAGGAAATATATATATATATATATATTATATATATATATATATATATGTATATATACTAAGGTGGTCCTTAATATGGACATTTTCGAATTTTTTTGCTCACAAGGTCTCAAATGCTTGGCTCAAATGCCAAATTATTTTTGGCCAATGCGTCGAATAAAAATATAAACAATAAAATAATTTCTCTATTGAACTAGTTTCGACACTATGTTTGTGTCATCTTCAGCAAATTCTGTGAATATTTATATAAAATATTAAAGAGAATATTATATATGTAACATGAATACACTTTTTTTTTAAATATATATAGAAAAATAAATGCCTGTTAGAACTTTACAATTTTTTTTTCGATTAATAGCTTTAATTAAATTTAAGTTTAAATAAGAATAATTGGAAAGTTTTAACCTGATATGTTGTCTGTACTTTCTAATTATTCTTCTTTAAGTTTAAAATTAATTAAAGTTATTAATAGAAAAAAAAATTTTTAATTTGAGAAAATTCTAACTATAAATTATTTTTATTTTATTATATTTAAAAATTCTAATTGTTATTTATTAATAGAAAATATTATTTGTATACATTTCATATTTATTTATTTCTATCATATGTTATAATACTCTATAATTTCATATTCAAAATATTGCAGATTAGTTCAGTAATCATGTAGTAATGATTATTAAATAATGTTAATAAGTTAAATAACATATATAATAACTATTTACCTTACGCCACGATCTCTTCATTCCAAATTAAATGTTTTCTCCTCAAAATTTAACCAAAAAAGTAAAAACGATTATCTCCGTATTTACAAACATGTCAGTTAAACAAACATGGCGTCAACATGAAGTTAGTTACAATTAACCATAGCCTGAACAACGTTTAGATCCGCTGTGGCGCGAATATTCAAATTCAAATATACATATAAATAATTATATATTACTATTTCTTTTATCTCAGGGAGAATTTTGGACGACGACGACAGTGAATATGATTCGGAACTTGACGATTTTATTGACGACGGGCCAGAAGATGGAAATGACTATTCAAAATACATTAAAGATATATTCGGATATGACAAATCAAGGTAGGTTTTAATTATATAATTATATTATAATTATATTATTGATATTGTGTACAAATTTAAATGCTTTCTTTGTGTGTGTGCGCGGAAAAAAAATTATAGAAGGTAATAATATTATTAATGATGATACATAGTAGATTTTGTTTTTGGTAGATGATATTTATGAGTATTTTTTTGGTTAATGATGATGTAAATTATATTTGTAATTTGTTTTTGTAGATACCGGGACGAAGATGATGATGATATAAATATGGAATCAAACTTTGCTCAAGTTATGAGAGAAGAATATATTAGTAAAAAAATTGGTAAGTGTATATATATATATATATATATATTATGTTTATTATTATTATTATTACTATTTTATTTCTTTCCAGGAATAATGGAAGATCTAGAAGACATGAAAATGGAAGCGATGGAGAAAAAGATGAAAGCCAAGAAGAAAAGACTAAAATAGTGTTAACATTTTTCTTTATTTTATCACAGATTTATATTTTGTAATATATATTATCATTATGTTTGTTTATTTAAATTTAACACCGATATGCGTGTTATGCATGAAAAAGGACACGACATAGATAAATTGATCTATCTAAAATTAGTTATAGTAAAATATTTATTTTCATAACAAAGATTCACATGTATATAAACTAATAGAAAAAGGTTGTAGGTGAAAAATGATCTTTTGCGGGACCAAATTATGAATTAAAACATTCGGTACCAGTGCATTTAGTAATAGAACCCGCTCTTGAACATTAAAGTTATTATGTAATGAGTTGTTTAGAATTGTGTTTTTGTATGCTATTGCCAAATTTGAAATCACAATAAATATTTATAAAGGAAGTAGTATAATTATTTACATCAACATTAACATGTAACATGTATAAATATGAAATTTGTTTTATCACTTTATATAAATAAATTTATATAAACTCCAAAAACTTAATAGATTTAAAGATATATATATATATATATATATATATATATATATATATATATAAATGGTTCTGAATATTGACATTTTCGAATATCTTTGCTCCCAGGGCTTATGTGCTTCAAAATTAATATAAATAAATTCTCTAAAAGTTTTAGCTCTTAATATTAACATTTAGATAGTCCGCAATTCAATTAAAAGTTTTGTATATTTTTTTTTAACATATATCATCATGTAAATTCTGGTACCATCTGTGATAGCAGACTTGTAATTTTGATGGCAATTTATTACTGATAATATGAGTGTAAAAATCACCAATTAAATAAATATTTAACTGCAGAATTAATTTCGATGCCATAATGAATAGATTTAATTAGAGGTTAAGTGATTTAGAAATATTTTTAAGTGTTATAATATTTGGACAAGAATTTACTTAATGACATGTGTTAATAACAAATATAAGAAACTTTTAATTGAATTGCGGACTATCTGAAAATTAATATTAAGAGCTAAAACTTTTAGAGAATCCTTTTATTAATTTGAAAGTGTATGTCCATATTAAGAACCACACTAATGCATATATATATATGCATATATATATATATATATATATATATATATAAAGCATTATTATGCTATCTTTAAAAAAAACTTACCCAAAAGACAAAAATAATTATTCAACAGTATCCTGTGACAACGATAATAGAGCAGATTTTATTTCTTCGTTAATTTCATCAGCTTCTGGCATTTCTGATATAACCCAAGTGTCTTCTGTGCTTTGTAGTGTTTCACGACAAAGGGGACATGTTTTATTATTAACATTCCTACAAAACATTATATATTTATTAACATATCATTATTATAAATATTAAAAGCATTATTATTATTATTTTTATTTACCATTGCTCTATACAAGGCAGGCAGTAGCTGTGAGCACACGGTAGCATAACTTCTGATTTTCTTTCTAAACAAATACAGCATTCGTTTAAATTTTCTCCAAGTTTCTCGTAATCGTCGTGTACACAATTTATTTTATCATATAGCAAGGATGTGGTAATATCGTGGCTTGATTGTGAAGAACCAGCTTGCTGGAAAAAAATGCAATTTTAATACATCAATATTTAAGAAATGATTTTTATCATTTGTGTAATTCATTTACAATTTACCTGTGCAGCATTCTTCGATTGTATCATAACTTGCAAATTGGTTTGTAGCATGTTGAAAACTTTTCTGAACTGAAGCAAATTGAAAAGTTTGTATGATAAAACTTTTTTGGTCTCGATGTCAATCTTTGCACAAGCTATTCTGACAGTGCCTTTCCACAAAACGGTTGAGTCTGTACCTTTTTTCACGACAAAGACTAGTTGTGTATTGGAATCCAAGCATTTATTTGATCTAAGGTAAAAGATAGATGTATTAAACAAGTATAATGATGAAAATGTATCAAAAAGTAGTTGTATGTTTCTACTTACAGTGCGTTGAGTTCTCGAAGGGATTTTAGGAAATCGTCATACGACATTGAAGATATTTCATTGAAAAGTTTAGCGTTCCTTTTAATTTCATCTTTAACTGTTTCGACTGTGTCAGGAATTATATCAAAACTTTGATTTTGTCCCATTTTTTAAAACACATTATTCAATCGTCAAATACTTTTGTGGTTATGTTTACAATCGTTTGCTGATATGACGTATGAAGGGTGTGAAGTTGTCGCCGAAAAGGACATTTGTGTTGCAAACTTCACAGTAGATTTGACACTTTGACAGATACTGTTGTTGATGTATGTTTAGGTTATGTATTTTTATTAATTAATTATTATTTATATTAATTCTCACTGCTATCAAAATGAATCCTTTAACTAATATGAAAAATGTGAAGAAGCTAAGTGAACAAGAGCTGAATAGATCTCTGAAAACCTCCTGGCATGATCAATACAAAGACAGCGCTTGGATATTCATCGGAGGCCTACCTTATGATCTTACCGAAGGGGATGTTATATGTATATTTTCACAGTACGGAGAAATCGTAAACATAAATCTAATTCGCGATAAAATCACCGGAAAACAAAAAGGATTTTGCTTCCTATGCTACGAAGACCAACGTTCAACAATCCTAGCAGTCGACAATTTAAATGGCATAAAAATTCTAGGACGCACCATACGTGTGGATCATGTGAGTGATTACAAACCACCTAAAGACAGCAATAAATTGGAACCAGAAACAAAATTACTGTATACTGAAGGCTGCGCTCCTAAAACTGAAACGATAAAAGTTAAACCAGAGCGTGATACAGAGGACGGCTTGCAGAATCATGTCAAATATGATAATCAGGAAACTGAAAAGTATATTAAGAAAGAAAAGGTGGAGAAATCTGAGAAAAGTAAAAAATCTAAGAAAAAAAGAAAAAAGAAGAGGAGTCGGTCATCAAGTAGCAGTAGTAGTAGTAGTGACTGAATTTCTGTAAAACATTTATATAAATAATAAAAAATTGTATATTTTAATACTGGTTTTAATTTCAGTATTTTGCTTGATATTTTATAAAGAGCTTTATAGGTATTATAAAGACGATCTATTTGATTTACATGTGTAAAAGTTAAAAATATATTACTGTTTGTAAGAAATTCAAAATAGATTGATTCAAGAGAAATCACTTCACTTTTTTATACCAATATTTTTTATATTAATAGCTTAAATACCTAAATAAAGAAGATAAACATGTTGCATTTCAAAATTTATGTATAATGAAAATGCAATTAAAATATTTAACTTCCTTAAAATCAAAAATAAAAATTTGTATATATTTTTACGTTTCTTAACATTTTGGCATACCCTAGAAAAAATGGGGAATTAAAAAGTTCAAAATTTATAAAATATTTTAAATTATAGAAAAATCAACTTGTTCAAGAGGTCACTTTTTTCAAAAATTTGAAATATCTCAAAAATCAATTTTTTTCAAAGTTCTAAAAAACAAATTGAATCTTTTTTAAAAAATTGAATTTTTGGTACGGCAAGTTCCTGCAATTTGCCTTAAGGCACGATGCCATGCACCACTAGTTTCATTACATGTTGAAGCGTTATTTTTGTAACAATACATACATTTAATTCTTAATTCTTACCTTGACTTCTTTAAGGCTTCATATTTCTTTTCACAATTTCACTATATTTCTACATATATTAACTTTAATTGAAGTTTTATTATAGTAAGCACATTGTATTAACTGAAAAAGAAATAAGATTCATTAAAAAGCAAAGTTTTCATAAAAAAAATCCATTCTTAAACCTGTCATCTGTCTGCACAATTTAATATTCAATCTAACAAATAGTAATCAAGATACAATTTAAAAAAATCAAAATAAGGCTAAAATAACACTAACAAACAATGTTATGGCAAGGTCATATTATGAAGAACTTTCCATACTATACATTGATAAAAGCATGCGTTTGCTGTGCAGTCAGGCGTATTTCTCAGATTGTCAGTTAAAAAACATAACCTATAAACCACACAAATGTAAAAAAAAACGATGTTAGATAACAGGGTCTTTTTGACCCAGCTTCATAACACACGAGTGACTTTGCAGTTTATGTGTAAAACGCTTGAATCCACAGCAAATACTATACATTTTGACAGAATTCACTATGATTCAGTAGCATAATGTATGAAAATTGGAGTGTAACATGGTCCATTAATTCATAAATTGTTACAGTAAATATATAAATTTACTTTTATATTTGAATAAATTTTAATTTTTTATAATTTAATTTTATATTAATGAGATGAGTAAAAACAAGTAGATTACCAATACTGAAAAATATGTAAAATTTTTAAGGTAAGGTAAAAAAAAAAATTGTTTATCAATAAGATGTTTTATTGATATTTTATTATAAATTACTTTATATAAATTTATTGAGGTGCAGGTCTGCCACGTCCATATCCACCACGCTGCAAAAAAACAAGTCTTATTGAAGATTGAACACAAATTACACAATTAAATTTTTAATTAACTGAAATTAAATCTAAAATGTGTAAATAGTTTATATAAAATTAACCAGAAAAGTTATTTATAAAATGAATGGTACATCATAGAAAATATTTTGGCAAAAAACAGTTCAATAAAATACTAAATTAAAATAACCTAAATACTAAATTAAAAATTTAAAATTGAATGTCATTAATAAAACATTTTAATAAAATAAATACTTCATAAATGAAATGATTGCATCACTTGCATATATATATATATATATATATATATATATATATATATATATATATATTCTTCTGTAATGATGTATGATTTGATATTTCCTATAAACGGTTATTCAGATTTGATAAATCTTTTTAGAGTTTGTCAAAGGAAATTTTTAAGATTTAATGAACAATAAAACTATAGTAATATTGTAGAAATGAGTGACAAAAATTACAAAAAAACACTTATCATTGTTTGACATTGACTGTCATCTGCTAGAAATGTCAATTCACTTGAAATTTGAATTTAGGTCAAATGAGCCTAGATAATATTAGAATATAAGCTACAAGAAAAATGCTATGTCTACATTATTATTGCCGAAAAGCAGCCGAGATATGCCAGAAATTAAAATAGCATAAGATACAGCCAACAGTATATGGTTTGGCAGATGAAATTATATAATTCAGTTTAATAAATAACGCAACAAGTCCAAATTGCATATACATTATTTTTCTAACCTTATGCACACCACATTTTGGTTTACTTTACTAAATTATTTTAACACAAAAACATATTTCTCTTTTAAAAAAATAGATTTAGAATATTATTTCTATGTGACAAAAATTTAATTTCTATCAATTTCCTCTATCTACTTACGAATTCCAAGTCCCCAGTGCCAGCACCGACATCAGCCTTCTTATCAGCGCCACCAGGTGCACCTGGTGCCCTGCGGTAGGCAGATCTGTCTTCAGCTGGACGAGATCCTTCAGTCCTTGGGCCGGCAGCCGGTCTTGGCCTGGCCAATTCGGGCCTGGTTTGGCGTTTGAGGGTGGAGGGCACAATCTCTGGGGGCAAGTGCAAGTATGTCCTCAAGTATTCGATACCTTCATTTGTCAGATACCTGAGATAATAGAAATAAATGGTTAAAATATTTATAGTCAATGTGGGAGATGTAGATACAGTTGATGTAGGAGAGTGTGGTCAGTTATGAACGAATCTACAATGTGATAACATTTGTAAGATGTTTTCAGAACTGCCCGTTCAATAATCATCATAAATGACACTTTGGTAAAAAAAATTCTTGAGGAGGCTTTGAGGACTACAAAAATACTATTTTTTAAAGAAATAGTAAACAGAGTGAATAAAAAAAGCAAAAATTATGTAATAATGTAACATGTATACCCAAAATACTGAGAGAAACAAACACTAGACCATATATAATGATGTATAAATCAATATATACATTTATATATCCAATTTACATACAAACCACGCAGACTAGGCCATATATAATGATGTATAAATCAATATATACATTTATATATCCAATTTCCACACAAACCACACAGACTAGGCCATTTATAATGATGCATAAATCAATATATGCATTTATATATCCAATTTACATACAAACCACACAGACTAGGCCATATATAATGATGTATAAATCAATATATACATTTATATATTCTATTTCCATACAAACCACATACACTAGGCCATATATAATGATGTATTAATCAATATATACATTTATATATCCAATTTACATACAAACCACACAGACTAGGCCATATATAATCATATATACATTTATATATCCAATTTACATATAAACCACACAGACTAGGCCATATATAATGATGTTTGTTACGTTAAAATAAAATAAACTATTTTGATATAATTAAAATTAACGACTGCCTTATGAATACAACTGCCTGGAACACCTTAAAACACCTTTCACAGCTAAGATCTTTTTGAAAGTAAATCCTCCATAGATTTGTCACTTAAGACAAATATTTGGAGGTTAAGATTTGTTCCACATATTTTTTGTAATTCAAAGTCATTATCACCTACATTATTAACAACAAGCAATTACAGTAGCTATATTAACCTCACAAAGGGCTCATCAGACACTCAATAAGTTTAATTAATGAAGTTAACCCCCAAGTTTTAATTCAATATATCTTTTTCCTCTTACCAGTAGAAATGCCTCCATGCAAATTGTTCAGTAACATATCCTCTAGATTTCAACGACTGCAAAGCCTTAATAACTTGCAAGTTTGGAATTTGCTCTAATTCTGGGTGTTTTGGTGCATGGTAGTCCTTCTTGGCCACCATAACTCCCTCCTTAAAGAGGTGCTCGTAGATTGCGACACGGTTCTGTTTTGGCATCAACATCCTACAATGAAATAGATTTAAATAAATACACACACTTTGTAAAATAATTTTGCACTCAACACAAATCATAACCTGAAAATACACTATTGAGTAAAATTAAGACTAAAATACAAGGATCATCCGATATTTACAACAATCACTTAGATAATTATGTATGCAATGGTAATTAATATCGGATGATTGTGAAAATAATCGTTAAATATATAAATTAAAACACTCACGTAAAGCCTATATATTTCGACTTGGGAATCCAAAACCGGAAAGGAGCACGAGAGGTTAAAATTTCGTCAAGCTGACATTTACAAAAGTATTGCCACATGAGAAATATTTATTATGTGTATGAAGTTAGCGCGTAAAAATTTAAATTCAAATGTACATTATTAATATTAATTTATTACCAGACAATAGTTGATTAAATTTAACAGAATAAGTATTACTTTTAAATATAAGTTTCAAGCGTTATATTAAAAGCTAAATTTTATTGATTTATTCCGTATAAGGGTTTACAGAGTAGCAGTACTCAAAATTTAATTTCCCGTTTATGCTTTACGATGGCAACACTATTTATATGACGGTGTCATGTCACTTATGTTTATATGAGAAAAAGCATCTCGAAGATATAATAGCGATTTTGATAAATAATGATAAATCTAGTTACATAAACAAATATTTAGTCTTGTGTGTAAGTTTATATTAATATTGTACATATTATTTTGTCTTTATACAGATTATTATTTCGAATTTACATTATACACTAATGTTAGGTTAGGTGCTTAAAAAATGTAATATAACTCTTTTTTCCAGCTTGTGACAATTAAAAATGGATTTCCAAAATCGTCCAGGAGGAAAAACTGGCGGAGGTGGTGTAGCATCATGGTCTGAAAGCAATAGAGACCGGCGGGAACGTCTACGTCAATTGGCATTGGAAACTATAGATTTAAACAAAGATCCTTATTTTATGAAAAATCACTTAGGTATGAACTTTTAATCTGAACTTAAAACTCTATAATTATAAGTAATTATAATATTTTTGTTCTAGGTACATACGAGTGTAAACTTTGCCTAACACTTCACAACAACGAAGGCAGTTATCTAGCTCACACCCAAGGTAAGAAACATCAAGCCAATTTAGCACGCAGAGCTGCAAAAGATGCGAAAGATTCACCACAGCAGTTGGCCCCTGACAAACCAAGAGTTGAACCTAAAAAGTTTGTTAAAATAGGTCGACCAGGTTACAGAGTAACTAAACAAAGAGAACCCGACTCAGGACAACAAAGTCTACTATTCCAAATTGATTATCCAGAAATTATCGACACAGTAACCCCTCGCCACAGATTCATGTCAGCTTATGAGCAGAAAGTTGAACCCCCGGACCGTAAATGGCAGTACTTACTGTTTGCTGCAGAACCTTACGAGACAATAGCTTTCAAAGTGCCCAGCAGAGAAGTGGAAAAGTCTGATGGCAAATTCTGGACGCACTGGAACAAAGATACGAAACAGTTTTTTATGCAGTTTGCTTTTAAACAAGAGAATAAGATGCCAGGGATGCCTATGAAGGTTCCTCCGCCTCCTCAGCATTTGCGGATGTTGGCTAATATGGCACCGCCTCCACCGATGCCTAATGGAATGTTTAGCGCTGTGCCACCTCCGCCACCACTTGGTGGAATGTTGCCTGTGCCGCCTCCACCACCTAGAATGTAATAATAAAATAATAAAAATTGTAAGAGTAACTTTTAATTGAATGAAATAACAGTATGTTGTATGTTATTTGGTACAAGCTGTACTCAATCATATATAAATGTTCTGTAATAAAATGAACATGAAACTTTACCTTTAATTAAATATCTCTATTCTATATATTTCATACATAATGATGTTTAAATCAATATATACAATTATATATCCAATTTACATACAAACCACACAGACTAGGCCATGTATACTGATGTATAAATCAATATATATTTATATATCTATTTTACTTACAAACCACAAGCACTAGACCATATATAATGATGTACAAATCAATATATACATTTATATATCCAATTTACATACAAACCACGCAGACTAGGCATATATAATGATGTATAAATCAATATATACATTTATATATCCAATTTGCATACAAACCAAGTACACTAGGCCATGTATAATTATGTATAAATTAATATATACATTTATATTTACAATTTACGAACAAACCACACAGACTAGGCCATATATAATGATGTATAAATCAATATATACATTTATATATCCAATTTACATACAAACCACAAACACCAGGCCATATATAATGATGTATAAATCAATATATACATTTATATATCCAATTTCCATACAAACCACAAACACTAGGCCATATATAATGATGTATAAATCAATATATACATTTATATATCCAATATGCATACAAACCACAAACACTAAGCCATATATAATGATATATAAATCAATATATACATTTATATATCCAATTTCCATACAAACCACAAACACTAGGCCATATATAATGATGTATAAATCAATATATACATTTACATATCCAATTTACATACAAACCACAAACACCAGGCCATATATAATGATGTATAAATCAATATATACATTTATATATCCAATTTCCATACAAACCACAAACACTAGGCCATATATAATGATGTATAAATCAATATATGCATTTATATATCCAATTTACATACAAACCACACAGACTAGGCCATATATAATAATGTATAAATTAATATATACATTTATATATCCAATTTACATACAAACCACAAACACTAGGCCATATATAATGATGAACAAATCAATATATACATTTATATATGCAATTTACATACAAACCACAAACACTAGGCCATATATAATAATGTATAAATCAATATATACATTTATATATCTAATTTACATACAAACCACAAACACTAGGCCATATATAATGATGTATAAATCAATATATACATTTTTATATCCAATTTACATACAAACCACACAGACTAGGCCATATATAATAATGTATAAATCAATATATACATTTATATATTCAATTTACATACAAACCACGCAGACTAGGCCATATATAATGATGTATAAATCAATATATACATTTATATATCCAATTTACATACAAACCACAAACACTAGGCCATATATAATTATGTATAAATCAATATATACATTTATATATCCAATTTACATACAAACCACAAACACTAGGTCATATATACTGATGTAAAAATCAATATATGCATTTATATTTATATATCAAATTTGAATTTTGAAGATCTGTTAAATGTTTAGTTCGGTGGCGACATCTTGCACAGAACCATATGAACCCGGTAGTCACTACGTAGTACACTAAGAATTTGGAACGATTTAGTATAGAGGCGCTGCATGTACCGCACTTCAAGCAGTATGGCGGGAAATTTGAATATGAAATTTATATATTTAAATATGTACAAATTTGTATAATCGACAATATTTGTTAATGCCTTATAGATAAGGCACATCCGAAGGCTTTTTTTATTATTATATCAAAACAGTCGATTGCAATTGTTAGATTCTATTAAATAGAAATACATATTATATATATATATATATATTTATATATATATAATTATATATATTATATATAATTATATATATATATATATATATATATTTATATATATATATATATTTATATATAATATATACTCTCATCTCTTCTAAAAATGTTAAAATTGTTAATGAACCAGGACACTTTCAAATTTAAATGTAAAACGATTCAAAATGGCTTGAAACGTTCAGAAACAAAAATTTTGTAGCAAAAACATTACTGAAATACTTGAAAGTAAATTTTAAATTTAAAAGCTCTAAAACATCCTTACAATGAAAATATCAAAAATTGTTATTTAAATATTTATTTATAACAAAAGTGTTTTTTATATTTTATATATTACTTAAGCAGAAAGCACGCAAGCACCACCCACTGCTTTGATCTTATCTTCAGCACTCTTTGAGAAGTACTTGGCTTTGACAATCACTGGCTGTTGTGGCAGACGTCCTTTGCCTAATAATTTGTAGTAACCCTAAAATAAAAAAACATACATTATTAATCTAAAAAGTTAATAAACCATAATTTACAATTAAGTGTTTAGTTTACTATCAGTTATGAACGAATCTACAGTGTTTTAACATTTGTACGATGTTTTCAGACCGCCCGTTCAAAAATCATCATAAAAATAAATAAATACATATGTATTGTTGCACTTACAGCTTTGACAATGTCGATAACTGGGGCTTTGCCTTCTGCATTGTCTTTGTATTTCAACCTGGTCTGTTCGCTGACCAAGGTCCACAATTTGTCTAAATTCAAAGTTGGGCAGTATTTCTGGTTACGCCTCAAATGGTAATTCCTCATACCCAACTGGAAAGGAAATAGAAAATTAATAGGGAAAAAAAATGATATTTAAAGTATTATTTAGTAAAAGACTAAGAGCCTGATAGTACAATTGAAATAAAGAGGAAAGGCTTTTAAATTAGTTCATTTTAAAATGTGGACAAATATTTAAAAGTGATTAGTAATAATTTGTACTAGGTGTTAGTAAATGTTATCTAGTCTTTGCTAATGTAAATAAAACAAAGTGGCCGGAGCAAAATTTGTAAGGTACTCAAAGAAATGTAAAAAAAAATGTCTAATTGCTAAATATATTAACAAAAAATTTATGCTCCAACAAGATTTAGACCAAAATTCATTCTTTCACCTCTAGACAAGTCTTTTAACCTGCTCAGCTTAACAATATGTTAATGTAATTAAATCATTTACCTTTCCAAAGTAACCGGGATGGTATTTATCAAAGTTGATTCTGTGGTGGTGCATACCTCCAGCGTTACCACGACCACCAGGGTGCTTACGGTGCTTACCTAGAAACAAAAACAAAAAGCATGAATACCTCAATCTAAATTACAAACTAAATATGTTCTATATTTTCTATTATATCAGTTATGAACGAATCAACAGTTGTAATAACATTTGTACGATGTTTTCTGACCGCCCGTTCAAAAATCATCATTGGTAAATGATAAATTGATAATACTTAACATTGAATGAAATTGTTATTACATTAACCTAAAAATTATTATTACTATCTATTATTATTCTTACCGATACGTCCATGTCCGTGTGAGACATGTCCTCTCAACTTCCTAGTCTTCTTTTTGTGGGTAGACTGAAAATACAACAAAAATTATAACCCATATTCCGACTCCAAACACTATACACGTTTATTAAATATAAATAAATCTTTACAAAGTAAAATTTATATGGAAACACTACAGCACGTATTACGTATACATATTACATGAAACTGAGATGCGTATATATAAGGATTCTGGTGTAAAATTAAGATTAAATGTATTTATTACAAGAGAACACGAACTCACCATTTTGCGAACGAAATGAAAGAGACACGAAGGAAGTGAACTCGATCTGTCATCAACGCCAGAGGTAACTTTTTCTTATAGACTCGCTTCAACAGGCCGACAACGTGATAAATGGAAAATTGATGATTTGGCGAAGGCGGGATATTTTAAATTTGGTTTAAATTTGTTTATTAATATTAGTTGAAGACATGCACATATTTCTTTTTTTATTAAATATAAAAGTAGTTGCAAGTGGTATTTGGCCTTGGCAAGTTACATGGTGTGTGAATAATCGACATATTATATTATAAATATCGTAAGTATTTTAGTTTATTAGTGTTTATATGTACACCAAGTTGCTGTATGGTATTAAAAATCAATTTGTACGAATTTGACGGGACAGTTTACTGGTTTACTGGTTTACTAATTTTATTAACTCGCTTTTTGCTAAATTATTTATAACAATTAAAGTATTTATATATTATAACAAGTAAACTAGTGGTGCTTGACATCGTGCCTTAATAGATATGTATTAAATTTTTTTTCAAAGCTTTTAATTATGTTAAAAATTTGATTTGATTTTTTTTAAATATTGCTATTTATGAATGCAAGTCTCTAACGCTTAAACATTATATGTAAATCTTGGTACCACAATGTAAAAAAAATGTACTTACTATTAAAATCTCCATAATATATCTGATAATTTGATGTGCACATGTCTAATGAACATTTGTGACCGCGAAATATCACTTTTTTACATTTTTTTATTATATCTCCGAAAACACTAGATATGCCTTTTCAGTCAATTATTCATTACGTCAATATAAGTAAAATGTATTTTGAATCATCCAAATCAGATGCTCCTTTCACTCAAAAACTCGATTTTTATTTCCTGCACTCTGCTCCATATCTCCGAAACGGCTGGACCTGCCTTTGCCAAAAACTAATCAGCACGTCACCTTATCAATACGATTCGAATGTTTTTTGAATTATTCAAATCGGTCGATCCTTACTCTCAAAATCGTAATTTGTATCCGCACATACATACATACGCACACACATTAATTTTCAAAACAAGGTATTATAAGATAAGCCAAAATATGTAGAAATTCCTGAAATATAAAAATAAGCAAAAAAAATTTTTCTCCCTACACATTGATTTGTAATTATACAAATTATTTATATTTATTATAATTATAATTATATTTATATTTATTATTATTTATATAATTATAATTATACTAACACACACATACACTATTTATTGTTACTATACACTTGTTTATCTATGCATACACACATACGAAAGATGAGTTAATAAAATCTGTGCAAGAATGATAACATTCTAGATCCTCCCCCCAAAGTAATGCCTAACGATGGTTTCCGTGAAGACCAGAGGCAAGAGCAGAGTGGAGGTGTTATTCGGTATTATGCCCAGGCGGTATTGAGTCCGACATACCCAGACAAAAGACCTAGTCTGGGATGCTTAAAGGCAATCCCATCGCTATATAAAAAAAACAGACTCTTTCTCTCATACAGATATATATATATATATATATATATATATATATATATAACCATTTCTTCAATCATATACTATCGACGTTTCGGAACTAGGTACGTTCCATCATCAGGACATCTGTCAAGAAACAATTTCTTGATAAGATTTAAGCAAACAATATATTTAAGAAAAGCAGAAGATGGTGGATTTTTTATATATAAAATGAGTAAAATTGTGGAAAAAATAATGTACAGAAATATGATAATATAATCAAAATGAAAATGACAAAACTAAATGAGTGGATTATATAACAAAATATTAAAAATGTTAAAAAATTAGAAAGTTTTGCAAAGTTTCAAGAAAAGGTTACTGAAAAAAACAGAATTTATTACCTTTATGATTTCACTAAAAAAGATTTTATCAAAAAAGTGATTTTATAATTTTTTTTTTCAGACTAGGAAACAAATTTTGTAATTCAAAATTTCTTTAAATTATGTTTTTTTTTTTTTGAATTCGTTATGTGAGACAAAAAGTATTATTACCTCGATGTTATGAGACGAACTATTTGGTAACAAACTGATTATTGAACGAAAGGATTTTTAAGAAGAATACACTTGACACTTGAAATCCTTTAAATATATATGTGGGTGTTGTTTTTATATATCAGAATGTGATCGTTTAAATTATTGATCTTAGATGGATGTCGATATTAATTATTTGTCAAAAAGTGTGAAAAATTTAAATAAGAATCATGTAACAGGTTGTGATCTGATCTAATGTTAACACCATAGATAAGGATATTAACACCATAGAATAGGATAACCAATAGATATGGATAATGGCTAACACTATTAAAAGCGTTAATAACTATAAGACAACTTTCCGCAAATAACCTCTTAAAGATGCAATTTTCATTATATAAAAAATGCCCACTCGTTTAAGTGGGTATTCTAGTGTAGAGCGATGAATTTTAGGCCATTTTAAAGTGTGGTAAAAGAGAGCAATGAATGTTTTAACTAACCATTTTTACCACTTGTTTATTAATATTTAACTTCCCGAAGGAGAAGTTTATGTTTTCATAAAAAAATCCGATTCGCTAATTTTATGTTTTCTCGACGTTTCAAGCCATTCTGAATCGAATGAGACCATATTAGGGAAAAGTATGTGTTTGTATGTGTGTGTGTGTGTGCGTGTATGTGAACAGATTTTTTGCCGTAAATCGACGTTTTCTCAAAAACGGTTGGGCCGATTTCAAAAATTTAAAAGCCATTCGATGTATTTCGATGAGGACTAGCGTTTATCAGTTTTGTGTGACGATCGGCCGAGCCGTTTCTTTGTAAATCGCAGAAAAGTGAAAAAAATTTCGTCCACATTTAGCCCGCAATTATTAATCGATTTTGAAAATTCAAAAACCGTTCGAAAGATATTGGTTGGGAATCGTGCTGATTAGTTTTTGGTAAAGATCGGCCGGACCGTTTTCTTGTGAAGTTTTTTAAAAAAAAAATTCAACGATTTTTATGGAACTTTTTTTTGGCGATATATATCACGGTCTTATACAACTTATTGAAATATTATGCCCTTACAAGTAGTTTAATTTAAAAAACTCACCAAATTTTAAGAAAATGAGTAGTTTTTTTGACGTTTGTTAAAATTAAAATTAGACGAATTACTCGGTGTAACGATAGAGTACTTGGTCTTAATGAACATACTAAACCATTAAAGTCCTATGGAAACTGGTTCAATTATAAAAAATGTTGATTTGTGAAAATTTTCTCTTAGAAAATACTCCGAGTTAACGTGTTCGTTCGTTTTCAATGATGTGTAATAAATCCACTCGGAGTACTTTTAATGGCTCATAAATTAATTTATTTTTTATTGATTAAGTCGATTATTTAATCTTATCGGGAAGTTCATGTAACTTGCCTCAAGGCAAAATACCAAACCAACTAGTTAGATTTTATATAAAATGCCATCCTGTATTTGCGGTTTATTTATTTGAGGATTTTTTACGAAAATTATTGGCGGTGGCAGAAAGTTAATTTGGCGGGACGCGGGCTGTTCCTCCATCTTGTTCTATTTTGTTCGCCACTTCAATACGAACTTAGTCATTGGTTGTGCATAGAAAAAATTGCCGAGCGACTTAACGGAAACATCCGAATAATTAAATTGACTTAAGTTATCCAATCAGCAGAATAACCGAGTGGAAAAGGTTAATTTTACATTCAGGACGAATTTACACAGGAAAGCCAGAAAACCGATTTGAAGGTTAGTACCATTATTATATTGTCTTAAGGTTAGTACTTCATATGAAAAACTCTTGAATGCAGGTTAGGAACAGTTAAGAACGTTGATTTGATTTGAAAGTTCTAAAAATTGCACAACAGAATTAGTTGTGTATATTACACTAGACACGGTGAGTGCAGTATAGATATAATCAAGAAGATAATATCCGAGACGAAAATATTTTATAACCTAACCATGTCTAAGGAAAAAAGCAAAGTTATGATTATAACTGGTGCAGGTTTCGGTGTAGGCGCTGAATTAGCTAAACACTTATCCAAAAGCGGTGTGAGCTTAACTTTAACCTGCAAAAACATGGATAACCTCAAAAGAGTGGCCGCAAAATGCAAAAACCCCACCCTCTTGTTGGCCCTAGACGGAGACATAGAGTTGGTAACCAAAAAACTAATAAACGAAACCATCAAAAGATTTAACAGACTCGACGGAGTCATCGTCAACGCTGGTTTAATACAAACAGAGAAATTCGAGACCTCCAGAACCGCTGAACCAAATCCAACAAACGCCATGGATCACATCAAGAAATTTTTATGCCATTTAACAAAAACAGCAGCGCCATATTTAATCCAGACAAACGGCAAAATTTTAAATAAATTCAGTTTCAAAGGTAGGCAAGATGGTTTAGCACTATCTGTATGCGATACGTTGAAAGAAAAACTGGATCAGTGCACATCTAGGCACCTTGTGCAGTTCATGAAGGAACTTAAAAGTATGAAAATAAAGAAAATTGCAAACACAGACATGTCTTATTATGATTTTTATATGAAAAGCATTCTATCCTTGGCGGCTTTGCTGAGGAACAAAAATTTGGAGGACACATTGCAGTTTGGAGGGCATGAACTTATGTTTCCTTTGTATTCAAGCGACATCGAAAGTAAGTTCAGGATGGCTTTGATGAGAAAAGATTTGATTCAACAGTGCCATGACGTATCAAGCCTTTATTTACCTCAATTGCCATATAATTGTTTAGAGAACATATTCAGTTATTTGGGAAATTGGGAAATGAGGGTCCTAATTGCTGCTTGCGCAACACCTGAGAACCATATTGTAAATGAATAATGTTTGAATAGTCAAATATATATATATATATATATATATATATTATATATATATATTAAACATATATATATATATATATATATATATATATATTGAATAGTCTTGAATGTGATGTTGATATATATGTTTAATTTAAGTTTAATATTTAGGCGTAACATCAATAAAAATAGTATGAGAGTTTTCTTAAAAGTTTATTTATTTAAAATCCATACGTTTCGGCTAGCATCTTAGCCATCATTCAGTGGTAATCAAATTAACTATAAAAAATGAAACTAAATAAATTATATGAAAGAAAATTTCATGGAAAAACAATAATAATAATAATAGTAATAAAACACCCACAATTTTGTATCCTAATATAGCATATAAAACCATTATTAATCATAGCATTATTCGTATGTCTTATTAGCATTATTCATATGCTATATTAGGATACAAAATTGTAAGTGTTTTATTACTATTATTATTATTATTGTTTTTCCATGAAATTTCCGTTCATACTATTTATTTAGTTTCAATTTTTTATAGTTAATTTGACTACCACTGAATGATGGCTAAGATGCTAGCCAAAACGTATGGATTTTAAATAAATAAACTTTTAAAAAAACTCTCATACTATTTTTATTGATGTTACGCCCAAATATTAAACTCAAATTAAAATATATATATATATATATATATATATATATATATATATATATATATATATATATGATTTAGTTGTTAATTTTGATGTTGAGCTATATGAGTAAGTTCTTGTGGGGCGATACATCAAAAAATAAAAAGCTTTCGACATTCAATTTAATGTCATCATCAGTGGATCTAAAAACAGTATAAAAAATTAGTATAACTAGGTTTTTATAATATATGTGGATTGGTATTCATATATTCGTTTTCTTTTTTTCTTTTTTATCTATTTAATATCTAGTTTCTATTACTTTTCCTATCATTTATAATTTGTTTGTTGTTAAGTGTTGCTGTTTTGTTAATTTTTTTTCTTATATTTATAGTTTCTCTACCAATCCACATATATTATAATTACCTAGTTATATTAATTTTTTATACTGTTTTTAGATCCACTGATGATGACAATAAATTGAATGTCGAAACGTTTGGAATTAAAAATTAATTTATAAATCTTTGCTTTTTATTTTTTGATGTATTGCCCCTCAAGAACTTATATATATATATATATATATATATATATACATATATATGTATATATATATGTATGTATATATATATATATATATATATATTATATATATATATATATATATATATATTTATATATATGTATATATATATACATATTTTTATATCTATTAATTCTTATAACTAATTTTTGTTGAAAACACTTATAAAGTGTTATACCAATTAAATAAAATTTTAGATTAAGTTTGATTGTTGAATAATATTGTTTATTTTGAAGCTACCAAAGAAATAACTTAAAATGAACACATTTATAGAAACTAAAATCTAATTTGTAAGCACATCAAGTGAAAAGTTCTAAATGTGCAATAGATATTATATAACTTTAGATATAGATATAGAACTTTCTTATATGCATTAAAATATTGTTTTTAAATAAATGCAATTCTCTAAAAATAAACATTTCTCTTTTATATTCTAACTTTGCATTAAATATTTATATTAATAAAAGCATGAGAAAGAGCTTGAAGCAATAATTTATGTATGTAATACTTTCTATAGAGATATATAAATTACTTCGCTTTATATCTTGAATTAATTCTGGAACAGAGTTCTTGTAAAGTCGATGTAATCTAGGGCCCCCTTGATGGGTTGCTCGGTTCTTGGATCCTTGTAAGGTTTCATACGAGCCACACAGTAGTCTGCCATTTCCTTTGTAAGGTTCTAAAATAGAAAAGAATAATTAAAAAATGTTTTGATTGATATTTAACTAGTAGGGTTTATACAAAAATCGATATTTCAGAAAATCGGTTTTCGAATTTTAATTTTACTAAAAAAAACCGGTTTTAACCGGTTTTCAAATTTTATATAGAAAATAAATTTTTGCTCTAATATTCTGTAATTTATCCGCAAATTTAGTGTAATTTAGAGCAGTATTTGACTGAATTTATTTATGTTTCAATTTTATAGATAGTAAAGAAAATTATTTTAATTTTAATTAGTACAACTTAAAAATAATAGTTTATCATGATTAAATAACTTTGAAAATAATTATTTGTTATTTATGCATCATTTTCACATATAAGAATGAAAATATTGTTATGATAGAGAAAGGAAAGTTTTCGAATAAATAAAAATAATACATTTTTAAATAAAAAACATTCATTGAATTAAAAAATAAATAAAAAAATATTAGATATATGTTGATACATACTTGTTAATATCAATTTTAGTTTTAAAAACAATTAAGCTAAACTCGCGTATTGTCTGTTTCAAGCAAATTTAATTAATTAATTTTAAACATTCTAATTATTTTTTTGTTTAATAAAATATGAATTAAAAAACAGAACGTCTCTCGAATTGCTACTTAGATGTGTTCTTTATTGTTTACTCACAAAATTTTCTGAAATAGAAAATACATACTCTCATACTTGCAACCAAATTATGCTTAATTATTTTTAAAGCCTGATATAATAATTCTAAGTTTTTTGTTCTTTAATTTGTGACTTCAAGGGTCAAAAACTCTTTTTTTTAAGTTTGAGTAGAGGAAGTTACTTCTTCAAGAAGAAGTCACACTGATTGAAATTAATATATACACTGGTATAAAAATCTTAATATAAACAAATCCTTTCTGGGAACCATTGCAGACTGATAAGATAGCAAATGCTATTGAACCGATATGATTTCAAGAATCAAAACGCTTTCATCTATCTTTTATATTTGGCTATATTTGTCATTTTCCATTTATACAGTGAAAACCGACTTTTTTCACTAAAAAACCGGTTTTCGAATTCCACAATTTTCGCCAAAAATATGTTGCATAAAGTACACTTACAATTAATCAATAACAAATGAGATTCTAATATTTAGATAAAATATTTAACTGTTTATTAACTAATAATGATATGATATCCTTCATCCTGATACTTACAGCATATAATTCATCGCTGGTGACATAGGGTCTATCACCAGCCGTGATGGCCCTGAAAGCATTTTCAATTTCTTCAGAGCTCTGGACGTTTTCTGTTTCCTTAGATATCATGAATGCCATGTATTCTTGTAAGGACACATATCCATCACGATTTGGATCCACAACATCTGAGGAAAAAGAAATTTAGATAAGTAAAGTAAAATATCAAATACTTTTTCCTTGAAGCAAGTTGCATAAAACTAATATTAGGTTGTCAAATATCTCCCTTCCGCCTTTTTGTATTATAAACCAATAGCAAAAAAGCGGAAGGGAGATATTTGACAACCTATTTTGTGTAAATTATGGTCAAAATGATAATTGGCGTTTATTAAATTGTATAAGGTTGCTCTTAAGATTATTTTTATTACCTAATATTGCATTAAACTCAGGATCCGGTTCTCCTTCCTCCACCATAGGCAGATCATAACCCAAAGCTCGTAGACAAGATTTGAACTCTTGTAAGTTCAAACGTCCACTCTTGTCTTTGTCGAAGTGCTTGAACATCATTGAGAATTCTTTCAGAGCATCTTCACTGACACCTGGTAAAAAGGAAAAAGAAATTAATTCATGTATATATATATATACATCTTATATATAAAATTCTTCCGTACGGGCGTATGATTTGATACTTCTTCTAAACGATTATTCGGATTTTGATAAATCTTTTTAGAGTTTGTCAAAGGAAATTATTAATATTTAATGAACTGATTGATAAAGCTATAGTAATATTGTAGATATAAATGGCAAAAATTACAAAAAATTACTTATTATTGTTTGACATTGAAAACATTTGAACTGAGAAATGCCCAATTCACTTGAAATTTGAATTTGGGTGAAATTATGAGTATAGATAATATTAGAATATAATATCATATTCGAGATAAATGTAATGTCTACATTATTATTGCCAAAAAGCAGCTGATATGTGCCAAAAATTAAAATAGTATAAGATACAGCCAACAGCATATGGTTTGGCAGATGAAATTATATAATTCAGTTTAATAAATAATGCAACAACTGCAAAATTGCAAAGACATTATTTTTTTTAACTAATGCATGTCGCATTTTGGTTTACTTTACTAAATTATTTAACAATACGAAAAAATATTTCTACATATTAAAAATATGATTTAGAATTTTGTTTCGTGTGTCAAAAATTCATTTTATGTCATTAGATACCTGTGGAATATTTAGCAAATTGATCGTAGATTGAATAGTGCTCATATAAACTAGATTTTACAAATTAATTCACCTAAAATTTGAACATAAACAATAATGTTTATTAAATTATTAGTAAGAAAAATGTACTTTAGAAATTATAATTGCCAAAAAGCAACTAATGCATCGTAGGAGATTATAGACTAAATTATTGAAGCAATTATGTTGTGTGGTAAAATCAAGTGTGATATTGTTGTTTTACCGCAGATACTATATTATTTTTTTCTGAATTTATATTTGTACCTGATTGGTTTCTGGCTTGTATCTGTTGTTCCAAATTGTGTTGCATTCTCATGCTGAGCTGATCGAGTTGATCCCATTGCTGAGCCAAACCCACTGTTGAATGCTCTGTATATCTGTAAATATTTTTTATTTATAAATAGTATATATATATATATATATATATACACACATATATACATATATATTAACAAAGTCTAGTAATCGAGCATAACATCACCAAAAACATGAATTTTTTTCAAAAAATTATTTGGAAATGCTATTTAAATAAAAGAGATTGTCTTATTGTTATAGATAGTTAAAAAAGAACCTTCTATACTTCTTGGTTTAAATAAATTTTGTTCAAATTGTAGTACAGTCAGGTTAGAAAAGTCTATATTGTGTTTTGAAGTATAAATGTGGTCCGCAAGCATAGTTTTAAACTGTCTTGGATTTTTTGAATTACTTTTATGTTGTTGTAAACGTTGAATTAAGTTCTGGTTTGTTTCTCCTATATAAATTAAGTTACAATCTAGACAATTAATTTGATAGACGAGATTTCTAAGTCGTTCAATACTAAAAGGGGTTTTTGTTTTGGTAAAAATAGTACTGGTCATTGTGCTAAAATTGTTTGCATATTTTCCCGACCTTATGACAAAGCATTAATTTTACTTTTAAAAAAATCATTTTATCAGGGATTGTGTGCCCCTTCCATTTTCCAATTGTACAAATATTTCCCGATGCACACAAACAGTACAAAGTTGATAAATGGTTTGTATAAAGAGCAATGTTTGCAAAGAAATAGAAATTCAATATTAAAATCTGAAGATACAACTATTTTGATAGGGAACGATAGGTACCATACAAATCTATGGCAAAGCTGTAAAATTTTTCACTATCTCATTTTTTTTTTCAATCTCAGTCAAATCGTTTAGGCATGCTACATAACAATATAATTTAAAAATGAATTATCGGATTTTGATTCAAAATTTACTGAATTGATAAAAAGCGCAGTAATAATATATCAAAATCTTGAAACATTAAACGTGCCAATTCAATTTAAATAAAATCAGTTTCAGATTAGGTTGGCACTTGCAAACACTATTAAGGGACATTTATATGTGGCATGCTTTGCAGTGGGTAAACTATTCATATACTTTTTGTTAGTTGCTCTTTTCACTTATGCACCACATTTGCAATCAGTTAGTTATTTTCGTACTAAACATTTTATACTAGAAATATTATTGATGAAAAAACAACGTTTGCCGGGTCTGCTAGTATATATATATATATATATATATATATATATATATATTGTATGATTCTGAATTTGATGCTGACATATGTCTTGGCAAAGTCTAGTGAACATCAATAAAAAACATGAATTTCTTTCAAAATTTATTTTAAATCCATACGTTTCGGCTATAATCCTAGCCTTCATTCAGTGGAAAAATTGGTTAATCTTAGTGTTAAATTGGAAAATTTTAATAATCCATGGTATCAGGATTTGGTAATGCACTACACTATGTTTATAATATGAATGAAGGCTTGGATTATAGCCGAAACGTATGGATTTAAAATAAATTTTTGAAAGAAATTCATGTTTTTTTATTGATGTTATGCCCGATCACTAGACTTTGTTAATATATATATATATATATATATATATATATATATATATATATTATAGTTTTGTCGACGTTGATACATATTTGTAATATTTTTGCAGCCCAATCGTCGAATTAAAAAAACATTAAATAACAAATTTATTCCATTAAACGTTTCAACACTTGATGTGTGTCATCATTCAGTAATCTAAAAAACATAACAAATACAAAGTTGATGATAAATATAAATAATATATAAAAAAAAGAAAATTATACATACCAAACCAGGAAAAACAACAGAAAAAATTAATTATGATGTAAAATTTGATTGAACACTAAATTTGTGTAAAATAATAATAACTATTATATTAACAAACGAGAAATAGAAGGAGCACATATTGCCCTCCTATATTTAATGTTATTGATAGCGGTGCATTATGGACACTGATCAAGGTTACAAAGCAAGTGTAGTGAAGGAGTGGGAGCGGGTTGTGAGAAACAAAAGGGAAAAAAAACAGAGAAGAAATATAACGAACAACAGATTCTAAAACTGTATTGAATTATTTTTCATGAAATTAATGATAACTTTGTAACTGTCATGTAAGAGATGAGAGGAATTACGTTTGTTTACACAAGAAGTATTAAGGGATATAAGTAAAGACTCAACTATCTTTCTAAGGTCACAACTTTTTCCAATGTATATATATATATATATATATATATATATATATATATATATATCCATTACCTGTTGTCCAAAATGAGATGTTCCTCCAAGGTAGCACCCAATTCTTCAATTCGCTTCAAATCACCTCTTCTGGCCCGAACTTCTGTAGCCTTTCTACGAAGTGCCTCCAATTGCTGTTCGAGAGAACCGGAACCTTCCATCATTGAAGTTCTAACAGAAAAAAGAGGAATTAATTAAAAAAAATATAAATGACAAAATTAATTATTTCATTGTTAGTTTGAAAGCACTAACTAACTAGTATTTGTAAAAAATAAGATGATGGATACTAAAACATATTTAGCTTCGTATATAAAGGGACCGATTCTGCCGCAAAAGAGGTAAATGTTATGGCAAGGCCATGTTACGCTCCTACTACATACATTATACTACTGAATCATACTGAATGCTGTCAAAAAGTCATGTATTTGCTGTCCATTCAGGCGTTTTACACATAAACTGCAACGTCACTCGTATGTTATGAAGCTGAGTCAGAAACGCCCTGTCATCTAACATCGTTTTTTTGATACTTGTGCGATTTCTAGGTTAGGTTTTCTATCCGACAACCTATGAAATACGCCTGACTGCACAGCAACCGCATGACTTTTGTCAATCTTCAGTATGGAAAGTTCTCCACAACATAGCCTTGCCATAACATTGGCCTGTTAAGCGGCAGAATCGGTCCAAAAAATTTGTAATGCTAATCTTTTATTGTATGTACTGATTTTTTTTTCAAATTTACTTATGTTGTAAGTTTTTTCATATGTTTTATGATTTGTTATGTGCAACACATATTTTAGTACATAAGTAACAAAATAAATTGTGTTCTCATTTATAACTTTTATAATTAAATTAAAATAAAAAATTAGTTTTATTATATATAAGCTAGTATTTTAAAATTTCATTAAAAACACACACAAGCAAACAACAGCTTGAATTATTTGTGTTATTGAATTAATTTCGTTTTCAAAGCTTATATATTTAAAAATATTAAATTACCCGTCCCAGCCTAATATTCTGTACCTAAACAAAAAAATTAAATAGGTAATAAATTACAGTTTAATAAAACAATTATTATAAAGATAAAATTGGGATAAACATTAGTAAAACCAGTTGTAAGAAAATTTGTATCCGCACACGCACACACACATGTTATGCCAACTTGTTCAGAAACTTTTAAAACTTAAAAATATATAACTAGCTGTAAGTGGAATTCTGTCTTAAGGCAATTAGGGCAGCGTGCCTTAAGGCAAATTGCTGGAACTTCCCGTACCAAAATTTTTTTTTTTTTTTAAACGATTAAAATAAGATTTTTGAGAAACTATAAATTGGACCGAAAATGACTTTTTTTTTTGAAAAAAAAGGTTTTCTTTATTTTGACATATTTTGGAAGGTCTAAACTTTTTTTCAAAGCAATCGTACTGCTTTAACTGCATAAAGAGGAAATATCAAAGCGCGTAAGCGCCGCGTCGCCGTCTAACGCGTAAACATTGGTACGGAACCCATAGGACTGTAAACCAAATTCATACTTATTGTTAAAATCTCTATAAAATATCTGATAATTTGATGTGCATAAGTCTAATGATCATTTTTGACCGCCAAATGGCATTTTTTTTTACTTTTTTCATTAGATCTACGAAACCGCTAGACCTGCCTTTATGAAAATTTGATCGGTTCTTCACCTTGTCAATATAAGTAAAATGTTTTTTGAATTATTAAAATCGGACGCTCCGTTCTCTTAAAAATGGACGTACCGTTTTTGGCACTTTTTGCCCCGTATCTTCGGAACGGCTAGACCTGCCTTCGCCAAAAACTAATCAGCACGTCTCCTTATCAATACGAATCGAATGTTTTTTGAATTATTCAAATCGGTTGATCCGTGTTCCCGAAATCGTCGACGAAAATTTGTATCCGCACATACAAACACACACGTACATACATACACACACACACACACACACACACACACATACATCCATTTTTTCTAAGGTATGCCAAAATGTTCAGAAACCTCTGAAACGTAAAGATATATAAAAATTTTCATTTTCGATTTTTTTGCGATTACTATAACTTGCCCTACGAGAAGTTAAAAATTATTTTCGATTTTTTGTGATTACTATTACGGAAATAGAAAAGGATGAGCTAACTGAAGTTAAAACAATAAATAGTAAAAGGACTCTACTGACGAATAAGGTGATATAGAAAAAACAATAAATAGAAAAGGGACTCTACTGACGAGCAAACTGATCAAACTTTCATTAATTTTTATAATTAATTTACTTTTCGTAGGCCTCTTCTAATATTTTAATATGTTCATTAAGACCAGTTCATTTAAACCACTTAGAATGGTTTAAAACGAAAACAAATTTCTCCTTCGAGAAGTTAATAAATTCATTGACATTTCTCTTACCTAGTCTCGGTCAACCATTGATGGAAAGCATTGGCGTGCCTTGCAAACTCTTTCCTCAATTTATCATTTTCGTCTTGTCGTTGAGCTTCTTTAGCAAGTTCAGTATCACGTTCAGCAATTATCTTCTGCAAGTTCCTCCAGGTGTCTTCGAGGGCCTCCATGGTGAACCAGGTGTAAGGATTCGGGCCAACATTGAACGTCTTGATTTGGCGATCGAGGGCAGCCAGGGCTTCAAAATCAGCCTGATGATAAAAGAAATAAGAATAAATAAACCAAACTTATTATGTAATAAATAGTTCGTATAGAAGGAGGAGTTATATCCACTCAACAACTCCACAACTCCGATGACTTGAAACATAATACTTGACACAAATGTGTTCTCTAGTGTGTTGTTAACATATCTAAGGGTTTATCAAGACTTTGGAAATAGTTTACAAATATTTCAAACATTTTTGTTATTAACTTCCCGTAGGGTAAGTTATAGTAATCGCAAAAAAATCGAAAATGAAAATTTTTATATATCTTTACGTTTCAGAGGTTTCTGAATATTTTGGCATATCTTAGAAAAAATGGATGTATGTGTGTGTGTGTGTGTGTGTATGTGTGTGCGTAGTATGTATGTGTGTGCGGATACAAATTTTCGTCGACGATTTCGGGAACATGGATGAAGCAATTTGAATAATTTAAAAAACATTCGATCCGTATTGATAAGGAGACGTGCTGATTAGTTTTTGGCGGAGGTAGATCTAGCCGTTCCGAAGATATGGGGCAAAAAGTGCCAAAAACGGTACCTCAGTTTTTAATAGAACGGAGCGTCCGATTTTCATAATTCAAAAAACATTTTACTTGTATTGACAAGATGAAGATTTGATTAAATTTTTATAAGGGCAGGTTTAGCGGTTTCGGAGATCTAACAAAAAAAGTAAAAAAAAATGCCATTTGGCGGTCAAAAATGATCATTAGACATATGCACATCAAATTATCAGATATTTCATAGAGATTTTAACAATAAGTATAAATTTTGTTTATATTCCTATGGGTTCCGTACCAATGTTTACCCGTTAGACAGCGACGCGGCGCTTACGCGCTTCATATTTTATCTCTATGCATTTAAAGCAGTACGATTGCTTTAAAAAAAAGTTCAGATCTTCCAACATATGTCAAAATAAAGAAAACTTTTTTTTTTCAAAAAAAAAAGATTTAAAAAAAAAAAATTTAAATAGTTTTTTTTTCAATTTTTTTTTTCAAAAAAAAGTATTTTTTTGTCAAATTTATAGTTTCTCAAAAATCTTATTTTTTCGAAGTAATTTTTTTTCTTAAGACAGAATTCCACTTACAGCTAGTTTTATTATAATAATTACTATTTTATGCATTTCAATATGCATACAAATCCCAAATTGGCAAAAAACTTGGGAATCAAAATCAATTTTGTAATTATTTTTGAAGAGAATATATAGAAATTTTAAATATGTTTATTTTTATATTAAAGAATTTATTTAGTTCTTTATTTATTATTTAACGCTTATATTTAGAACATTTTGAAGTAAAACTTCTCCATACGCCACTCCGGGGTAACTCGGAGAAAATGCAACGGAAATGCGTTACGCCACAAATACTGAACATTTTGAAGTAAAACTTCTTCATGCGCCACTCCGGGGTAACTTGGAGAAAATGCAACGGAAATGCGTTACGCCACAAATACTGATTCATCATTGGCCATCGACGTGATCATTCGAAGCGAATGGATGTGATCAACAGAATTTTTTTTGATGATATTTGTCTTTCAAACTACTCAAAAATTTTGTTCCAAAGTGTAAAAAACGGTTTATACAGGATTTTAGTAAATTTTATCTAGTTTTTGCTAAGCTAACAAAAAAAGAGTGCCCGGAACTAAATTTTTGACTTATTTGAATAAACGAAAAAAGGTTTCCAGAATCCTATTGTGAATGTGCAAAATATATTAGCGCGAGTTCAAAATATTCAAAATTTTGTTCCAAAATGTATAAGACAGTTTATACGGTATTTTAGTAAATTTTATCTACTTTCTGCTAAGCTAACTAAACAAGAGTACCCGGAACAAAATTATTGAGTTATTTAAATAAACGTAAAAAGTGTCCCGAATTCATATATTTTGAATGTGCAAAATATATTAGCGCGAGTACAAAATATTCAAAATTTTGTTCCAAAGTGTATAAAACAGTTTATACAGGAGTTCAGTAAATTTTATCTACTTTCTGCTAAGCTAACTAAAAAAGAGTGTCCGGAACTATATTTTTGAATTATTTAAATAAATGTAAAAAAAGTGTACCGAATCCATATATTGTGAATGTGCAAAATATATTAGCGCGAGTTCAAAATATTCAAAATTTTGTTCCAAAGTGTAAAAACGGTTTATACAGTATTTTAGTAATTTTATCTAGTTTCTGCTAAGCTAACTAAAAAGAGTGCCCGGACTAAATTTTTGAGTTATTTGAATAAACGTAAAAAAGTGTCCCGAATCCATATATTGCGAATGTGCAAATATATTCGGGCGAGTTCAAAATATTCAAAATTTTGTTTCAAAATGTATAAAACGGTTTATACGGTATTTTAGTAAATTTTATCTAGTTTCTGCTAAGCCAACTAAAAAAGAGTGCACGGAACAAAATTATTGAGTTATTTAAATAAACGTAAAAAAGTGTCCCGAATCCATATATTTTGAATGTTCAAAATATATTCGGGCGAGTTAAAAATATTCAAAATTTTGTACCGAAGTGTATAAAACGGTTTATACAGTATTTTAGTAAATTTTATCTACTTTCTGCTAAGCTAACTAAAAAAGAGTGCCCGGAACTAAATTTTTGAGTTATTTGAATAAACGTAAAAAAGTGTCCCGAATCCATATATTGTGAATGTGCAAAATATATTAGCGCGGTTCAAAATATTCAAAATTGTGTTCCAAAGTGTATAAAACAGTTCATACAGTATTTTAGTAAATTTTATCTAGTTTTTGCTAAGCTAACTAAACAAGAGTGCCCGGAACTAAATTTTTGACTGATTTGAAAAAACGTAAAAAAGTGTCCCGAATCCATATATTGTGAATGTGCAAAATATATTCGGGCGAGTTCAAAATATTCAAAATTTTGTTCCAAAGTGTATAAGACAGTTTATACGGTATTTTAGTAAATTTTATCTACTTTCTGCTAAACTAACTAAAAAAAGTGGCCGAAACTAAATTTTTGAGTTATTTAAATAAACGTAAAAAGTGTCCCGAATTCATATATTTTGAATGTGCAAAATATATTAGTGCGAGTACAAAATATTCAAAATTTTATACCAAAATGTATAAAACAGTTTATACGGTAATTTAGTAAATTTTAACTATTTTCTGCTAAGCTAACTAAAAAAGAGTGCCCGGAACTAAATTTTTGAGTTATTTAAATAAACGTAAAAAAGTGTCTCGAATCCATATATTGTGAATGTGCAAAATATATTCGGGCGAGTTCAAAATATTCAAAATTTTATACCAAAGTGTATAAAACGGTTTATACAGGATTTTAGTAAATTTTATCTAGTTCAAATAATGCAGTGAACCTTATATACGAAATAAGAACAAATCTTTGTGTGTAATATTTTTCACAAAATAATAATACCTGACATTCTTTTATTATTTCCTTTTCAAGAATTAATTATACATCAAGTGGTTTGATAAGCATACTATTACTTTTATACATTTATAAAATCATAATTGTGTAAAAGTTATAATATAATACTAAATATTTTTTAGTTGGTTGTATACCATTGAAGGAGCTCATTTACGGACAAACATTATCGTATACAGAATATAGAATACAAAAGAGCATTATTTTGAGACATTATATACCTGGAAAGTCCTAAAACTGGCTGTTAGACGAGAAAAAACCACTTCTTTCGACCAAAATCTTTGTATTAGTAAAAATTCTCAAGCAAATGTTAACAGATTTAGTACCAGTTTAGGGAAGTCGGATATGACAAATCCTGTGATACAACTCCACTCGGATTCACTCCGAGGAAGGAGTTGTATCGTAGTGATATTTCCGGAGTAAGTTACCCATATCTAGTTCATATCTATTATTACCTGTGCAGACGACAAAGAAGCCTGGAACTGTGCATGAGCCTCCCTCAGGGCACGGATTTCCTCAATCGAGTTGCACCTGACAGGATCTGTGAGATCTTCTTCGGCATTCTCGAACCAGGAATTGAAGCTGATGCCTTCTTTGCGAATGTCAAATATAATTCCTCGATCTGTCTGAACTGTTCTTGCATGTCCAGCAAACGGGTCTTGCGAGCACGGGAGTCTCCCAGGAGACGTTGCCATCTGGGATTGAAGTAAGAAACAAATGTTATGAAAAAAGTAGATACTAAAAATAAAAAATATGATAGTTCAATAATTACCTGGCTAAAACATCCTTATGTCTGTTGAGAATAGCTTGAGATTGATCGTGTTTGGCCGAAATTAGTTGATCCTTCAATGCGGTAATGTTTTGTATACCTTCTTGTTCGAAAGCCAAAAGACCTGAAACAGAATATACATTTATGACATTTTATTATTTATAAATATATATTTAAAAATTTTATATATAAGATATATATATATATATATATATATATATATTTATTTATTTTATATATAAAATTCTTCTGTACGAAATGTTGATTTGATACTTCTCCTAAAAGGTTTTTCGGATTTGGATAAATCTTTTGGAGTTATTAAGGATTTTTGTAGGATGTAATGATTTTAAAAATATAGTAATATTATGCAAATAAATAGAAAAAATTGCACAAAAACAACATATTGTTTGACATTGAAAACATTTTCACACTAAGAAATCTAGACCCTTGATGTAATTCTAGATAATCTTACATATATAATTTTTCTTTGTGGATGTATAAATTCAAACTCCTCCTAAACAATTATTCAAATTTTGATAAATCTTTTTGAAGTTTATTAAAGGTAATTTTTAAGATGTCATGAATTATAAAACTATAGTAATAAGTAAGTATAGACCCCTATATTTAATTCTAGAAAATCTTATATATAATTTTTTTTTTTGTACAGATGTATGAATGCAAACTCCTCCTAGACGGTTAATCGAATTTTAATAAATCTTTTGGCAGTTTGTCAAAGGATATTTTCAAGATGCCATGAATTATAAAACTATAGTAATATTGTGGAAGTAAATAGAAAAAAATGCAAAAACAACATATTATTGTTTGACATTGAAAACATTTTGACATTTGACAATCTAGACTCCTAGATTTAATTTTAGATAATCTTATATATAAAATTCTTCTCTGTATGAATACAAACTCCTCCTGCACGGTTATTCGAATTTTGATCAAACTTTTTAGAGTTTGTCAAGGAACATTTCAAGGAAGATCATATAACATTTTTAAGATATCATGAATATTAGGATAATAAAAAAATTGGAACAACGGAGGACAACGTCTGCCGGGTCAGCTAGTATACACACATATATATATATATATATATATATATATATATATATATATTGATTGTTTCTTTTCCGAACAGTAAATCCAATAATAAAAAACAATTTGTTTTTTGAAGATGTTTAATACGACGTTTCGGAACTAGGTACGTTCCATCATCAGGTTTATTCTGTCAAATACAATGTTTTTTAAAATACTGATTAACATTAATTAACAATGGTCAATACAGATTAATTAGAAAAAAATTTTGTTATAAAGGAATGGATTATGTACCGGATAGATAGTAATAAGACTTAACTAAAAAGGTTTTATATAAAATTGAGAAGCGAAAATTATTTACCTGTAATAATTTATATATCCATATCACTAATATTTTTTGTTAAAAACACTCGATTTTTTGGAAGATATTTGTAGATGTTACGACTACACAAGACTTAAACACACTGATATGGATTTCTGTCTGCCAGATGTAAAGGACAAAGCACGGAACTCTTGGCAAAAATGATTTTTTATGGTTCTTGTTTGGTAATTTACGAAAAAAGGAAAAATATTGCTTTAGTAAATGTTGAGAAATATTATGTATATATATATAT